ATTGCTATTGCGTATTGCGACGACTTGTACGTACAACATGTTGATGATTACTACCTATCAACGAACCATCTCATGATTCCCCGCCTGCTATAATGTTACTTGCATTTTACTAGACATGTTTGTGGGAACTATCAATAATGCAGCCAAAAGTGTCCCTACCCTCCCCTTGGCTCGGCTATTCTCAACCTCGCAACCAATCACCCCATGCACTGACTGCATCAGCACAGCGGCATGGAAACACATGAAAACCAGGAAAATGCTTCTCCACGTCATCTGGGTGCGTCACATTCCAAACCTGCATTCACATGGGCGCAGTTGATGCTCGACTCCGCGTTCCGCAAATGCACTAGAGCTGCCGGCAGAAGACATGGAGATGCATACCTTTAACCAGTACAGAGTATATATTTTGCCAAGCTTTCGGATTCTGCGGAATATTACTCTACCAAGTGGGAACATGAATCGTAGTCCCGGATGCCGTGGAAAACTTGATGACACAGTAGTAGTAGTACGTATGGAGTACGGATACATGCAATAGAAGCACACGGGCCATGTTCATATGGAGCAGTCCCGCGGCAGCCAGGGCTGACCAGGACCAGACTCATGAATGACAGCCATGCGAGGCATTATCAATGCTACACTGCATCATCCCCGATATCCGCCTTTTTAAAATTGCCAGTAATAGTTGTAGATTTGCCCGCTTCCACGATGGCCGATTTCTTGATATTACACAAGAATCCTTCACCCCTCACGGCAGCCGCTATGCACACGCGGTGGTTTTCTTATTGAATCTTCTAATCGTTTGTTGTTTCGGACTTTGTTGGCCGTATTACTAGTAATCTCGCAATAGGACTGCAGTCCCTGCCGCTCTAGTCTGTTTTCAAACATAGCAGCTGGCTGCTCATGATGCACAAGCCAGGATTTCACTCCAAGCGGCTGACCCAGATCTTCCTTTTCATCAACTCATATCATGTCCTTAGCTCATGCTTCTGCCTGTCCAGTCCATGCCTCGCTTCGACCCAAATTTGGCATATTGAGCCGAGTGTTTCTGGCTGACACTAGTCCATCTTCCCACGTCAGCATCCTCTAAATTCATGATAATGTTAGATGAGAATATCATCAAACAGCATCGCTGGAGGCCATCGAAATAGTATCATGATTCAGCAAAGCAAAGCAGTCCTGCTACTCGCTTGCGCATTCACAGTGTCATGATTTGGTCCCATTGCCCCAATGAACCCCTATAGTACTCTGTAGTAGACAATTGATTCATCGTCTAGGGGGCAAGGGCAATCCCGCTGTCGCCGATAAATTACATTTCATTTATGGTTTGCCATTCTACATGGTAAATATTTAACGCTGTTCGAGCATTAATGGGATCATTGATTGGTCTCTGGAATTTCTTTTCACTGTAGCTCTCTCCGCTGCGTACATATCAAATCTCTTTGATCGCTTTTTTGATATTGCTTTTCTTTTTTTTCTTCTTCTTTTTTTTAAGCTGTCTGTTTCATGGTGGGATACACGAGCTTCTTTAACCTTGTTACAAAATCAGCCCGTGTTACTGCCACTATGACAACCATCTCCTATTTGCTGCCTCCAAGCATGTTAGGCACCTTGGAACATTCAGCTCGGGATCTAGCATACACCAAGAAAAGCCACTTCGTAATTCCTCGCTTTCTGACTGGCTGGAATTTGAAGCATCCTTGACATGGCACTTTTTCAAGGCTCTCGGTAGCGGGTTGTGCCATTATAGCTGGCTGACTCGGATGCTATCCGGTTGCTATTACGTGGGCATACATGAACTCAAGATTACCCCACAAACTTGGTGACATATTTGCTTTTGATATTCTTTTTCTTTCTCCATGGAACTTTTCAAACGGATAGAAGCATAAATTTGATCGTCACAAAGGGGTGTACACCATCACATGGCGGACAGAAGACAACAAACTTTCCTGGGAGGCAGCCTCCCTGAGTCTGGATTGCTTGATTTAGCGGGCGCCTGACAGTTCAACGCCTCCGAAATAATTGACAAGTGGCATCTGACCAAGTGATCCAGCCTCACAATGTCCATCTGAGCGCTTCGTTCACATAATACGCCAGCCTGTCGTTATATACATGACAGTGAAGCTTACCAGTGTCTGAGACGATTCGAGTGCTCTCATTCATCGGAAATGACTAATGTCTTGGCCACAAGGCCTGTTCCAGCTCACCAGAAATGTCAACTTCAAAGTCAGCTGTCATGGCTCATATTTCACGTGTTCACTTACTGTTGACGCTTGGCCGAGACAAACCAAAGCGCCACTTGAGCCTATTAGATTTCTCATCAGACTACCCTATCAATCAATGAAACTATATCTCTTGATACATGTATGCCACCGTTACATGTCTGTCTGAAAAGGGAGGCTGCATAACCTCCAGGGTATTGCCGTTTGCCAAAGCAATAAACTTTGTGGAGTATAGTCAAGCATGTCCAACCTCGAAGCGACATGGCTCTCATGGCACCGACATGGAGAAAGTCATCACGCGGGCCACTACGTTCGTATACGCAATATATAGAAATTGAATGACGATGATTTCGGTGCGTGAATGTGCTCATACAAGCGGCTACCAGCCATTGTGGCTTCAATTTTCATCATCAGCCTATTCAATATTCTGATCGTGAGACGAACGCTGGAGTATATTGGCTCAAGCAAGAATTTCTAGATTGTAATCATCACTCGCAGAATCACGTACTCGTCGTGACCCCGCATTTCTCGGATATCTGCTGTCATGATGTTTGACAGCTTGTCAGATGATAAGACAAGCTCCTGCACATATATTGACCACTGAAGAGCTGGTAGGACTGCAGCAAACGCACATTTGTGACTCCCAATAGGGACTGAAACCTTTAACAAGGCAACCATTATCTGATGGCCCGCCCTTGAGGTACTGGCGAGGACTGGCTGTGGCGTGTGGGACAATGGTGACGTTGACTTTCTCTTTCAGCTGCACTAGATTCATAAATGTGTCATCTCTACATGCGCTGTCGCCAATAATGTTGCCAACTTTGAATCAGGGGTGATCTCTCTGCTCATAGCCGATAACTCTCTACAATGTGAGAATTGGGTTAATCCAACTCTCCAATATGCTCATGTCTTTGACCTTGTCGGGGGAAAGTGCTTAAGCGCTAATATGGTGGACTTAGTCGCCCTGTGGGCTATCTAGGCTATCTGGATAACTGGAGACTATAGGCTTTTAATATAGTGACGCTTCTTATAGCTCTTCGGGTAGTGATAACGATTGGTGGAAAGCGATGTCTGCCCGATTCATGGTAAGCGAGACACTAAACCACTTTCAAAAATCTGGCACCGCCACTGTTGTCGCCGACAGCCAACTGTCGTCCAGTGTCGACGCGACGGACTAATCCTCGGGTTAAAGATGAGGTATGCTATTAGGCCTCAATCTTCCCTTGCCATGTAGATGTAACTAAATAGACCCGATAGGAACACACAGCGATTGGGTTGAATAGTACGGAAATAACCGTATCGAACATTGCTTTTTACGTTTGATTGTCAAATAGACACCGTCATTGCCTGTTGATCTTGTATCAAAGCATCTCATGGTACATGAACACATGATCTGCTTGCAAAACCATAGAGTAGTTCCAACCATATCGCGCCCAAAGTGGACTGACACAAGCACAAAAGGTTCCTTGTTCCAAACTCTCCCCTGGGCTATAAATGGATTTGAAATTCGGAACGGCTTCATAAAACGTCCCATGGGAACGCCATGAACCCCGAGTCCGAGCAGGCTGAGCACGGCATTGGTTTGCGAATCGGTCATTACGGAAGGGCATTTCTACTGTTGGGGAGCTGCCAAAGTCAACTACAGTCAGTCTTACCAGCTCGCTTCAAACTTGTTGAAACGGGCAACACTACTTGCCCTAAGTGCCACTATGCATGGAGCTGTTAATTGATACCAATCCAGACTTTTAAGGAAGCAGACTGAATTTCGAAAGAGTTCAAGTCGTAGGGCTAACAAAGAACGGCGGAGATATAACTCGGCCCGTTTTGGACGAATTGCACGAGCATGTGCTGTTCGGCTTTAATCGTTGCCGAATTGGGCATTACTCCACCAAAAGGATAATGTACTGCAACTGGCCTGGCTAGAACACTATTCGTTATTGCGGCTGGGTTATCAAGTTCTCATATGGCGAATCAACAGAAAGAAATGAAAGCCTTTGGATGTTCTAGAATTGAAACTAGTAATATTTTAATCTCGTCGATGTAAGAAGATTATTTATACTCCGATCATGAGCATGGCAAGAGTTTATCCAAACTCTTGTGTAAAGTGCTCTTTTTTGATATGGCAGAGCTAGATGCGATGACTATGGAGCAGTCAAGCTTTGGAGTCCCCTTTATTTATTTTATTGAAGTCTAGAAATCATTATACATGGTTTGTGGAGAACAACAAATATAATCGGCAGCTGTTGGCTATTGAACGAACGCCTCTCTGCTAAGGCAAGATATCCTGACGCAAACACTTGCAACAATCGTATGAAAGTGGAATATCCCTGTACAGGTTGAACAGTTTCTGAATGACATCCGAAAAGCTACCATCCATCGGCTTAGAGCGAGCCCGGTCGGCCGGAATCAGGAGTTTTTCCAGTCGTCCACCCCGAATTACTACAATTCGCTGTAACAATACTGCGATGCCAAGTCTATCTCGAATTGAGTGGAACCACAGTCGTCAAGCTGTTGGCTCACGTGGGGATGCTCTTTGGGCCTATACGGAACAAAATTGGAGCAAATAAACAAGTTGAAAAAGTATTCTTGGATGTATAAAGACCACTGCCATATCCAGCTGTCATATTAGACAAATATGTGATTGTTCTACAATCCATTGCCATTGACCGACAGTAGTCAAGTTTAATCATGCACTTTCATTGGGGAATCGTCCTAGCACTGCTAGCAAGCAGTGAACAAGCCATTGCCCAATTCATTTCTGAGGAATACTCTCCGGGTTACATGTACCTTGCAACTTTTGATAAACCAGGAGTCAATATCCTTGTCTCAGAGAATGAATACGAAGGCGTGACGCGCGCTGCCGGGGATCTCGCTCTAGACTTTGGCCGTGTCCTCGGGACCAATGGGACTGTACAAAACGATACTTCTGCTACCATTGCGGATCATTCTGCCGTCATTATAGCAGGCAGTATTGGAAGTTCCAATATCATTGATGAACTTGTAGCATCTGGTAAAATCAATGTCTCTGGGGTTCAAGGCAAGGTGCGTCTACACTTTTGCTAGGCAAATTCCCGGAATCTCACAAACAATGACAAGAAATGAGATTACTTTGCCCAAGACTAAGTTTTCATCTCTACAGTGGGAATCCTACATTCAGCAAGTGGTCCTGGAGCCTGTAAGTGGCATCAAGGAAGCGCTGGTCATTGCTGGAAGCGACAAACGCGGCACCATCTACGGCATGTATGCAATTTCTGAGAATATCGGTGTCTCTCCCTGGTACTGGTGGGCCAATGTACCAAGCAAAACAAGAAAAGGAGTCTGGGTGCGTCGTGATCCAGGCATCATCCAGGGCCCACCGTCTGTCAGATACCGTGGAGTCTTCATCAACGACGAGGGAGAACTTATTTCATGGGCAAAGGGCAAGTTTGCACAAGCTGCCTCCGGTGGTTATTTCACGGCAGACTTTTACGAGCCCATTTTTGAACTTTTACTCCGCCTCAAAGCCAACTATCTATGGCCCGGAATGAAACAGAAGGAAGCCTTTTACAAAGACGATCCCGGCAAAGGCAATGGCGTCATTGCTGATACTTATGGAATTGTCATGGGAACAAGCCATCATGAGCCTTCCGCCAGAGCTTACTACGAACAAAAGGATGGAGACCTTGTCGGAGCTTGGGACTGGAGCACCAATGAGGCCAACGTGAGCCAGTTCATGGACTATGGCATCAATCGTGCCAAGGACTGGGAGACCATCTTCACCATGGGTATGCGTGGAGATGGCGACACTGTATCGCCAACTCTGACCGCTCCTGAGCTTGAAGTGATCATTCAAAGACAGCAGGAAATGATTCAAAACCACACTGGGAGGTTGGAAGAGATCCCGCAAGTCTGGACGTTGTACAAGGTGATCATTCCCTGATGTCATTTTTGGTTTTCAGAGGCTAATTTGTTAATTTCCAACTGGTAGGAGGTTGGAAAGTATTGGCAAGCTGGTATGAATGTTTCTGATCTGGTCACCTTAATGTGGACCGACGACAATTACGGCAACTTGCTTCGTGTACCTCTTGCAAATGAGACGTCACGACGCGGCGGCCATGGAATCTATTACCATTTTGGCTATGTTGGCAGTCCCAGAAGCTACATCTGGATGAATACGAATCAACTTGTAAAGGCATGGGAGCAATTGCACTATGCTTTTGAGCGAGAAGTTCGGCAAATATGGATTGCCAACGTGCAGGATCTCAAACCATATGTGAGTTACAAGTTTCACCCGATAGAGTGCTCAGGGCAACTCGTTCCATTAGAAGCCACTGACACGTGCTGGTTAAACGAATCCAGGAGGTTCCCATGAACTTTTTTCTCGACATGGCCTACGACATGTCATCTTTTACCAGCCCGAACTCGACAGCCGAATGGTATGAGCGCTGGGCAGCCCGTGAATTCGGTAGCGGTGCTGCCAAGACCACGGCACAAGTCTACACTTCATTTGGACGTTTGGCCTACAGACGGAAGTGGGAAATGCTCTCATTGAGTCCCTTTCCATTCAGCACAACAAAATATGACGAGGCTTTTGGTATTTTACAAGAATGGGATGATCTGGCAGAACTGGCCCAAAGCGCCCATGATTCTCTGCCTGCCTCGAACAAAGTTGTTTACCTGGAACTCGTCCTGACTCCAGTGTTGGCTGGGAGGGCCTTTACTCGGTTCTTTACTTACCAGGCATTAGCACAACTCTATCAAATGCAAAGCCGCACCAGCACCAATAACATGGCCGCTATGGCAGTAGACGCCTTTGATACCGATACTGCAGTTCGCGACACTTACGACGCCTTATGGGACGGAAAGTTTGCCGGGTTTATGAGTGCACCCCATTATGTGTACCCACCCCAGGAGTATCCCCCAAGAGGCGACAATATGCCATCCCTGACTTATATCAACGATACAAGCACTGTTGGAAATGATTCTTATTTTCTAGGACTTGCCGTCCAGGGCACAAGCAGTGCTGCATCTTTTGGAGACACTGTTTGGCTGCGCTCTGTGGATCCATATATGCCCCCATCTGAACAACGGTGGCTGGACGTGTATACACGAATCAATGGCACTTTTACCTACCACTTGAAGTCGAATGTTTCTTATGTTGGTGTCTCAAACTCTAGTGGGGAACTCAAAGCTCCGGGGAATCTATCAGACATCCGTAGTATTCTTACTATCGACTGGGAAGAAGCACCACCAGGTTTGAGTTGGGCCGCCATTGAAGTAACTGGGAATGAGACAAAGCCACTGCCGTCTGTCATTACGGCCATTTTGCCTATCAACAAGACCACGATCCCTTCATCGTTCAATGGTTTCGTCGAATCCAATGGAGTTGTCTCTATTGAGGCAGCAGGTTTCACGTCGGCGGAATCCAAGAATGACGTGAGTTATCTGGAGATACCTGATTACGGACGGACTGCATCCGGCGTCAAACTCTGGCCAGTTACTGCCGCATCACAAGAGCCGCTGACCGGACCCAAGCTCACCTACACGATATACACCTTCACCAACACGACCAAAGCAAGACTGTCATTTGTTTTTGGCGCAACTCTCAATCTAGACCCGCTGCGGCCTTTGAAATTTGCCTATGCGCTGGACTCTGATTCCGCCGTGACGAAACAAATTATTGGAAACTATAGTGGTGGCTCTACTCCAACGGGATGGTCTTCCGCTGTCATAGCAAATTCGTATTCGGCAACGGAAGATATTGCTTTGTTGGCAGGGGAGCATACATTGAGTCTTTGGTTGTTAGAACCTGGCGTGCTGGTCCAGAAGATTTGGTTTGATTTGGGTGGGAAGCTTGCAAGTTATTTGGGTCCTCCGGCCAGTTTTAGAGCCGCTTGAGTAATGTCACAATAAAGTGGTCAATCTCGCAACCAGAAGTTCCCCTTTGCTTGATTTTGCAATAGCCTTGCCGCTGGCCCTTTGGGTGAGGTCGTGTTACAAATTCGAGACTCTAGAATCCTGGATTCCTTCACGCGGGAGAGGTTCGATGGTTGAAGAAACACGTTGAATCTAGAACTGGCATTCCCTGCTCTATGTACATACACAGATGCTCATCTCGAGCGTCTTGGTTTCACAAACACCACTCAGCAAGTTCTAACCCTAGCACAGTAGACCATATCTATGAGGCCGGGGCAGATTGGGCTGATGGTGGCTCGACAGACTTGCCGAAAGGCTTCTGGCCAGGGTCTCTGAGGATGGGATAGTGGGCGTAGATTTGCTTGGAACGTAGGTGCACGGGAATTCCCTGGGCATCTGGGAGCTCCTTCTCGAGTTTCTGCGCGAATTATCAGTAAATCTGCTGCCATACACGAATTGAAAATTTGGAAACGTACCAAGTTGTCAAATACACACTTGTTCAACTTCCACTCGGGCTTGCGGCATTGCCAAAGTTGCTGGTTGTTGTCCTCAAGACATTGCCAGTGTTTCCGGAACTCATCAAGGCAGTGCTTGTTGATGTCTTCGACCCTGTACAGTATAACATGTCAGCTAATGATTCAGCCGACCTTTGGGTCCATTATCTCTCCGCGGCCTCTCGAGGACATCTTTTCCTTGGCATCTGGCATTGAGCCCATGGTCCCCAATGCGAGATCTGGGTGTGCAATAGGGATCACATACACACTAGCAGCACATCTTGTGACTCGGCGGCCCTCCTTCAAACATTCAAACTCGCCCTTGCCAGGGTTCTCGGTCTTGCATTGCATGAAATCATCATTGTAAGGTCGGCATCGGGCGCCAATGAAGAAGGAAGCTGACAGCAATGGCGCAGAGGTGGCGCCGACCTCCTTGACCTTGGGAATATCCTCGGGCAGCGGAGTCGTATCGACCAGGACTTGCTGGTTGAAGCTGGCGCAATCATGTTAGCTCGACCATTGACAAGATTGGGGATTGTGCTTCCATCCCGCCTCAACAAGATTTACACGTCCAATTGATGCGCGGATCTCGGAGTATCGTGGGTACGTACATTGGCTTCCTAGCGGCCATGGCTGTGGTGTTGATGGCCTTGTTGGTGGTGGTGCGTTCACTTGGGAAGCTCCCGGGGATGCTGTTCACGAACTTGAGCCGTGAGGTTGATAATTGCAGTTGTTGATTGGACGCAACCTTGGTGTGGCTAGTGGTAGCAACTGGCGATTTGGGAGGACTGGCGGCTGGGGCGGCGGTCCGGGGGAGTGTGGCGGTGCAAGCCCGCCTAACATACAGAGAAGTGGAGATCAGAACACGACAAAGCGCAAGCACCCCCAAAACCACGCTAGTGCAACAGGGTCGCAAAGGTTGCCAGGCTCAAAGCTGAGCTCGGTCCAATCAAGTTCAAAAGTCAACATTGGAAAGCTTCATTCCGTAAAAAAGGACGAGGTACCATTCCAGCCCAGCGCAAATTCAAGAAAACGCTGAGGTCTTCCAGTGTTCTTTGCGACAAACAACAAAGGCAGCGCTGCAGTTGGAGGGGGCGTCTGACTTTACTTGAACGACGGCATTCTTGTAATTTCCTGATCTAGGCGCGCTCGCCCACCGGATTCGAAGTTCGACCTCCGCCGTTTTGCGCCTTGTTGCACTGCGCTGTGCAAATCGCCATCATGACGCTTTTTGGATCGTTGCAAACGACGACTGCGTCGAACCCTACCAATCCGTTTGGCGGATCCCTCGCTCAACCTCAGAACCAAAATCCTCAGCAGTCGGCATTTGGCACCAGCAACCTGTTCAACCAGTCGCAAGCACTGCAACAGCAGCCGCAACAACAACAACCACAGCAACTGCAGCAGCAGGCCTTTGGCTCTTCTATATTGAACACTAGCCAGAATCAACAAAGATCCAAGTTATGGGAGCCTGGCCAAGATTCGCCCAGTATGTCATGCTGAGCTCAAGAGTACCCGCCATACCAATATGTGTATACTGATGCTTTACTTTTAGACCAGAAGCCGGTTGACCAGCAAATGGCTGATATTTACGACAAGTGGAACCCCACCACTTCGAGCACTGTGTTCAAGACTTACTTTTACAACAAAGTCGATCCCTCGCATGTGCCCTTCTATGCCCCTTCCCAGCGAGAAACTCAGGATGAATGGGACCAGGCCGTTCGCGAAAAGCCTGGCCCTGGCTTCATCCCTGCTTTTGCGACTGGTTTCAAGGGAATTGGGGAGCGACTGCTCATGCAAAAAGCTGTTTTGGCTCAGTTCAATGCTCGCCTGCACGAGATCAACAGCAACCTGGACGCCATCTTATCCAAACACGATCTCGAGACCAATGTCCGCGCCGTAAATGCGCGACGAAGACACATTGTTATGCGGCAGCGATGCTTGGCCCTTGCCAGCAAAGTACAAGTTCTTCGAAATCGTGGATATGCCATGAGTACCGACGAGGATGAGCTCAAATCCAAGTTGGAGCAGCTGGACCGCGGCATGGCAGACCCTGCCCTCAGTGCTCGAACGGAAGAGCTCTGGAGTCGATTGATTTTGCTGCGAGGCCATGCCGACACACTGCGCAATGAGATCAACGCAAGAGGAGGTGATAACGGAGAGGACATTCCTGAAGAAGCCGAACAAAAGGCAAAGAAGGTAAGCTATTCTGACTGTTGGGTTTTCACTTTATCCGGCAATTCTAATGTCTTCCTAGCTCCTCGAATATTACGACCAACAGCTGCAAGAGCTGAAGAAGACGGTAGACAGGGTCAAGGAGGATTACGAGGAGTGGGAGAAGGAGCACAATCCCGACTCCAAGACTACGAAGAGCTGAGGATGTGCGGATTCGAGGTAGTTGGCACGAGTACTGGGCAGTTTTGAAGATGGACAAAGACATGCATGAGCCATTTCTACATACGGCCACGACCGATTCGATGATAATACCCAATGCAGAGAGATGCTTGCTTATCCCCTGATGTGAGGGCTATTGGCATGTAGGAATAGACCGGTTGCCAAATTGGAACAGCTGTACACTGCCATGTGCATACTTGGCGGAGCTTCCCACTCTGTATCATCACCTCGGCATTGATGCTGCCAGCAAGTAGGAGCCTTCAAGACATGATACTTCAGTCCATGGGTTGGAAAAGGGACCGAGACATGAGCTTTTCTTGTGACTAAATCGATGTCGTGATGGTGCGAATCTTAAAGCACAACTTCTATGCACAACTATACAGGTATTGTACAACTGCGTCTCTGCAGCCTTCCCATGCCCGCTCCTAGAAACACCAATTGATGCCTCACGTATCATGCGACTGTCGTGGTAGTTTCGTATCTATTGTACATATCGTCGTATAGCGTAGAGTCTTTCTCGTCGTTTAGAAGAAGCTCGACACGGCGTCAATCACAAATGGAGCTACGTTGTCGCCATGTCAGCATGAATCCCAACAGATAATAGATCAGAAACGAAACCATCTCTTGTACATACAGAAGTAGAGGGCCACAGCGGTGGCAGCAAAGGACTTGACGGTGAAGTTGGCCTGGGACTCGAGCTCGCGGATCTCCTCGGCGCTCAACTGGGGTGGTGCGACTGGTGAATTTTAGCCTTGTGCATATGGATGGGAGGCTATGGGTAATGCTGGCCAGCCGGCCAAAGGAGCTCACTTACATCCAAACATTTTGTTAGATCTGCTATAGGATGACGCGGGGGGGCTGTTTTGCTAGTTGTGGATCGAGTGTTTTGCGGTCGTTTTACTTTGCAGTAATGTTATGTACAGATAGCAAATGGAAGATACAAGATAGCAAAAAGATATTGAAAGCGGATGCGCAATGACGCTATCGCTAGAATTTTTTAGGGAGTCTGAGTCGCCAGCCAGCCGCGAGTTAGGTAAGGCAGGCGAGCTCCATTTGCAGGGCGCGTCTGTGCCCGGTTGTCGCTAAGCTAGAACTGGGGTTAGTGGTGGAAACTTCCAATGGGAGGAGACTGGGGTAACTCGTCGTCGGCTGGGCAATCCATGGAGCTTGGTGTCCATTCTTTACATGAGGACATTATGAATTAAGATCTGTAATGTAATGAAATTGTAGACTGGACTACGTACACTGCATGATATACTGTTGTTGCTGTGTTGTACTGACAGCCTCTCCTTCGTACGGAGCGTGCACATATACGGTAGCTCTTGCTGACCACTACATGAATCTACTCGGTACACTACACCGAATCTATGAGCATTACATGGAAAACCTGCGCTTGGTCAAGCTGGCCAGTCATGACTAATTGATGCAGACATCACCTGCCAGTCTAGATATGCAGTGTTGTGTCGAGACAAAAGTCTATGATAAATTGCAAGTGTACACGCTTCACACCTTGACCAGACCTTATTACCCAACCAACTCTATAAAATGGTGACAATACGATGAGCTGGCCACCACAAGGAGATAAAATGTATGTAATAGCTTGGGCGAAAGCGGAATATAAGCCGGGACAAATTCAATCTGCATCTTGATCTGCCCGCCAATCCTCTTCAGTAGCTGCAGCTTGCCCCCCCTTCCAGGGTCTCCTTTGACGAATGGCAATCTATGCCTCTTACGGTACATTGCAAGCGGACAGAAAAGCCGCCGACACATGTGCGGGCAAGGCGAACAACCCAAACGACCCCAAAAGACATGGCCAGTGGAACCGTCTCAAGCCGGTCACTTGCACCATGTGGCCCGAGATAACCCGCCACTCCGATACCTCGGGCGCCTACCCGTACCCTTGGTACCTTTTTTTCTTTTTGGGCTGTGTCAATCTTATCTCCTACATTATGAACTGATTGCTGCTGGCCCTGACATACATTAGAGATAGCCGATTAACGGCGAGTCAAGCATCACCGCAGTTTCAGTGGTAGCGAGTCTTGGGTCCCGTTTCCCCGATAAAGAAAAAAAAAAGTACATCAGTCAAGAAGAAATAGAAGAAAAAGAGAAATTGTTTTTTCGTCGACTTCTTGTCTTCTCCCAGTCTCTCATTCAACCTGTGTCAAACCAAGCCCAGTACGACGAAATTGCTGGCTCAAGCCATCTCCATCTACCTTGTACCCACTTGTAGGATCTCATTCTCGTCTTACTTTGCGGTGCCGAGCTTCAATTCGGGAGCCGGGACCGTGTCGGCTTACCCGCCGAGAGTGAGCTACAAAGTCCCAGTCGCAGACTTGTGCTGTGAAGAAGACTTGCACTCAATTGAGATTCCGAGGCGCTTTTCGTGGGTTTGCACGGGTTCTCTGCAAGCTCTCGCCGTAAAGTGAAAAGCAATCAACCACAAGTCGTACAAATGGCGAGCTCCGTACGAGCATTGCCTCGGCGGCTGGGTCAGCTGGCCACCCAGACGCGCATCACAAACTCTCGATGCCGGCTGAACCAATGGGCTGGCCGCCCGTATGCTGTGAAGCCAGCTCCTGTCTGCATCCGGACTTTCACCAAGACTGCAGCTTCGCCAGCAGATGTGGATGTCAATGCAGTGCCGCACTCGGTTGAGGCTATTCGGAGCTATGCCGACCTCGACACCTTTGCTCGCCGTCATATCGGCCCTGATGACAAGGATACCAAGAAGATGCTCCAGGCACTCTCTCCGCCAGTCAACTCGCTGGAAGCCTTTGTTGAGCAGGTTATTCCGGCTGATATTCTCACAAGAAGCCAAATGGATCTCGACTTGCCTGGGGCCAACAGCGGCCCCAAGAATGCGGCTCTTTCGGAAAAGGGCTTGGTCAAGGTTTTTGACGAAATCGCCAAGAAGAACAAGCCAATGCACAGTCTGATCGGCTCCGGCTACTATGAGACCATTACGCCTCCTGTCATCCAGAGAAATGTGCTGGAAAGTCCGGCCTGGTACACCAGCTACACCCCTTACCAGCCCGAGATCAGCCAAGGACGCCTCGAGTCCCTGGTCAACTTTCAAACCATGGTGACTGATCTCACCGCACTCCCCATTGCCAATGCAAGTCTTCTCGACGAAGGAACGGCAGCTGCCGAGGCCATGACCCTTTCGATGAATGCCCTCCCTTCATCGCGAGCCAAGAGAGCTGGCAAGACGTTTGTTGTCTCGCACCAAGTGCACTCCCAAACGCTCGCGGTCCTCCGCGGCCGAGCTGATGGCTTTGGAATCAACATTGTGTCCAAGGATATTACTAGCGAGAACGCTGTTGCCGAAATCGAAGCTCTTGGCGACGATCTAGTCGGCGTCTTGGTTCAGTACCCAGACACCACGGGTGGTGTTCAAGACTTCCGGAAGCTGGCCGCCACCGTTCACAAGCAAGGCGCCCTCCTGAGTTGCGCAACCGATCTGCTTGCTCTCACCGTGCTCACACCACCGGGAGAATGGGGAGCCGATATTGCTTTTGGCAGCGCGCAGCGATTTGGTGTGCCTCTCGGCTACGGTGGACCTCATGCAGCCTTCTTTGCCGTGACGGAGAACCACAAGAGAAAGATTCCAGGCAGACTTGTGGGCCTGTCCAAGGATCGTCTCGGGGGCAATGCTTACCGACTTGCTCTTCAGACTCGTGAGCAGCACATTAGACGAGAAAAGGCCACAAGCAATGTTTGCACCTCTCAAGCCTTGCTGGCCAATATGAGTGCCCTCTATGCTGTGTACCACGGCCCCGAGGGTCTCACGGCCATTGCAGAAAAGGTCATTCGTGGCGCTCGTGTCATCTCGCATCTCGCTGAGAAGGCCGGCTTCAAAATTGCCAACTCCAACCTTGGCGCCGAGGGAAGTGTCTTGTTTGACACTGTTACGGTTGATGTTGGCTCGGCTGAGAAGAAAAAGGAGATTCTCGATATTGCCGAACAGCAAGGGCTATTTATTGGCAACTCCAAGGAAGCCACCCTGCTCTCCTTTAGCGTCGGTGAATCTTCCGACACCGATGTGCTCAAGAACGTGGCCCGAGTCTTCCTTCAGTCAGGAGAGTCGGTCAAGGTGACAGAAGAGAAACTGCAAGCCGAGGTCGATGAGGCTCTCGCCAAGCAGGGTACAGACTTGGGGATCCCCGAAACCTTTCGGAGGACGAGCAGTTTCCTCACCCACCCAGTCTTCAACACACACCATTCGGAGACGGAACTCTTGCGATATATCCACCATCTGCAATCAAAGGATCTCTCTTTGGTACACTCCATGATCCCGCTTGGCTCATGTACCATGAAGCTCAACGGCACTACTGAAATGTCCTTGATCACCGACAAGCAGATGGGTTCTCTGCACCCCATGGCTCCGCCAAGCGCCAGCAAGGGATACCAGCACCTCTTTACCTGGTTCTGCAACCAGCTCGCCAACATCACCGGCATGGAGGGTGTCTCTCTCCAACCCAACTCGGGAGCCCAGGGTGAATTCGCCGGCCTACGTGCCATCAGGGAGTACCAAAAGGTGCACGGCAAGGGAGACAAGAAGAGGGACATTTGTCTGATTCCAGTCTCTGCACACGGCACAAACCCGGCCTCGGCTGCCATGGCAGGCATGCGTGTTGTTCCCGTCAAGTGCGACACCAAGACGGGTAACCTTGACATTGCCGACCTGGAAGCCAAGTGCAAGCAGTATCAGGACGAGCTCGGCGCCATCATGGTCACATATCCCAGCACGTATGGAGTCTTTGAGCCTGAGATCAAAAAGGTCTGCAGCCTCGTCCACGAGTACGGTGGCCAGGTTTACATGGACGGTGCCAATATGAATGCCCAGATTGGTCTCTGCTCCCCTGGAGAAATTGGCGCCGATGTGTGCCATCTCAACCTGCACAAGACATTTTGCATTCCTCACGGTGGTGGTGGTCCTGGAGTCGGACCCATCTGCGTCAAGCAGCACTTGACACCCCATCTCCCCCGAGACCCTTACAACGCAAACCCGGCCGAGGGCACGCCAGCAAACCATCCCGTCAGCAGTGCACCATTTGGTAGCGCAAGCATAAACCTGATCAGCTGGGCCTACAATACATTGATGGGTACGTAATGATGCTTATGAACCTTGAACAAGTCGAAACATGCTAACAATTGGCACAGGTCCCGATGGTCTTGCTCATGCCACCAAGATTGGCCTGCTCAATGCCAACTACCTCTTGTCTCGCCTCAAGCCTCACTACCAGATTCTCTACACCAACGACCAAGGACGCTGCGCTCACGAGTTCATCCTCGACGTTCGTCCTTTCAGCAAGTCTGCTGGTGTCGAGGCCATTGACATTGCCAAGCGTCTCCAAGATTATGGCTTCCACGCCCCAACCATGAGCTGGCCTGTCGCTGGTACACTCATGATTGAGCCGACCGAGTCCGAGTCTCTGGAGGAGCTTGATCGTTTCGTCGATGCCCTGGTGTCTATTCGCAAAGAGATTGCCGAGATTGAGGAGGGCAAGGCACCGCGGGATATCAACGTCCTGAAACTGGCACCACACCCGATGAAGGACTTGATCGACGGCGACGGCGACGGCAAGTGGGAGAGAAGCTACTCTAGAAGCAAGGCCGCCTACCCCTTACCCTGGCTGCGGGAGAAGAAGTTCTGGCCGAGTGTGGCTAGAATTGATGACGCCTTTGGTGACATGAACTTGTTCTGTACTTGCCCTCCGGTGGAAGACACGACACAGCAGTAAGCGCCGTTTTTGGGATGGTATATCGGGAAATGGTACAGGGTTGACAGGGAAAATGGTATTTATTCAGCGTGCATCCTATTTCAACATTTTGGGAGGCGTAAAGCGGTACATGTATGCGCAAGACCGGTTCTGACGCAAGGTCATTTGCAATTTGAAGCGCGGAGTTCTCATCAACTTCAGAGGCGCAGCATTGGTTGTCTGTTGCATATGTTATTGGTCGGGTCAGGCTCGGGACAAATAGATTGTCTCAAAAGATATTTATACAAATCACTCAAGAGAAAACTATGCCACAATCAGCGCCGAGAGCTGATGGACTATACAAGATATACAAGGCTTCCAGACACGTAATCTTCACCAATATTGGGCATTGTAGCATGAGTCAAAATGAAAACAAGTACCTTGATGGAAAATAGTTCAACAGCATCTACATCTAGGTCGTAAACTGTGTGGGTATAGTCATAAGCTAAAACCTTGTGAGATATCACGGATAAAATAGCCTCAAGGCTGGATATCTTTGCCTCCCGAACCCTCGCCGAACGCCAGCAAGAGGTTATACACGATTAGACAGTCTCAATGTATCGCTTCATCTCCCAGTCAGTGACAGCCTCATCCCACAATCTGATCTCATGGCGGCGGGTACCACCAAAGTGCTCAACAAAGTCATCACCAAAGACCTGTGATGTTTGTTAGTTCCACGGATACATATTCAAGTTGTAAGTTTGGTCGACGTACCTCTCTTGCAATGCTGCCCTTCTCCATGAACTTGTCGACTGCATCCTTGAGGTTCTTTGCCAACCTCTCGCCTTGATCGGCGCCGCTGCCCACATCCTCTCCCTTACCCAGAGGTGGGAGCTTGATCTCCATCTTCTTCTCAACACCTCGCCAGCCGAGACCCAGAATGGCAGCCATGACATAGTGAGGGTTGGTGTCAGCGCCCGGTACCCGAATCTCGAAGCGCGTTGCGCCAGGCTTTGATGTGGGTGGTGCGATCAGACGGATGGAGGCAGCGCGGTGCTCCAAACCCCAGGACACAGTCACGGGAGCCCAAAAGTTCTCCACGAGTCGCTTGTAGCTGTTGATGGTGGGTGCCAGCAGAGGCATAATATAAGGCAGTCCATCAATGAGGCCAGCCAGGAAATGACGCCCCAAATCACTGAGGTGTGCGACATCTGGCCAAGGCGCATTCTCGTCCTTGGTTTCCCGTGCGAGTAGGTTCTTTCCATCCTTGTCGACAACGGAAAAGTGAGTGTGGCCACTGTTGCCTGGGAGTCCCTGCTTCGGCTTGGCCATGAAGCATGGGGTGATGCCGTACTTTGTGCCAATGGACTTGACGGCATATTTGAACAGACCGGCGCGGTCAGCCATGTCGCTGATCTGGCCAAACTCCAGCGCAGCCTCAAAGACTCCAGGACCACTCTCGGTATGCCAGCCTTCAATGTCACACTTGAACTTGGCACAAGAGTCAAATATCTCGTAAAAGTAATCCTTGTTATGGACTGGACGGGTGATACTGTAGCCAAACATACCCTCGGTCAGAGCAGGCAGAGTGTGTGGTGGGTTGTCGCGCAGATAAGCGGCCGTGGAAGGCTTCGCGTCGCTCGAGTCGGTCGACGGTGTCTTGAACTGGTAGAATTCGTACTCGGCTCCAGCCATGGCATCGTAGCCATGGGCCTTGAACTTGTCCAGTTGCGTCTTGAGCAGGCCCCGAGGACAAGCGCAGACGGGCTCTTGAGTATCGGGGTCATAAAAGCTGACGAGGAAGAATGGGATATCGCCCTCCCAAGGAATGCGCCTATAGGTGCTGAGGTCTGGAATGGCAATGAGATCTCTGTAACCGTTTTCCTTGTTGCTAATCTTGAGCTCTTGGAAGTAGGTCATATCGTGCATATCCCAACCAAAGACGACGGAGCAGAAGCCGAAACCGGACTTTGCAATGGACAGGAATTTGCTCTTGGACATGAGCTTTCCGCGCAGAACGCCATCGGCATCAACTCCAGCAACCTTGACCTTGGTGTCATTTTGGAGGATTTGTGGCAGAGTCTCGAGGGTAACCTCTAGTTCTTGTGACGAAGACATGGTGAATGTTTGGAACCAGTTCTTTTGGAGGGGCGCTGGAACGAATGCGACAAAGCGAGTGGAGGACCAGAGGACTTGAAAGTATCGACAGAACGCTTGAAAAGGACTGCCAGAGACAGCCGCTCGTCGCACCGAGTGGTTGATGGGCGTGGAAGGGAAGAGATGGTGTTGAATGTAGGTCGGACTCTTGTTCAAGGCGCCGTAGCGGTGACGTAGTGGCTGGTTGTGCCTGTCAAGCTAGCAAGATAAGCAGGATTCAAGAGCTACCACAACCTCAACTGGTGTCGTAGGGAGAAGACCGGTTGGAATAGAGCGAAAAAAAAAAGATTCGTGTTGGAATGCTAGACCTGAATCCAAGGCTAACATTCGATAAACAAAAGAATAAGAGCAAGAGAAAGATGCGACGGCGGTTATCGTTCCGTCTCTCTGTCTGTATTGTCTCAGCTCGATTAGCTGCTGCTGGCAAGTACAGCCGCAAATCCGTAATCGCGGGCGGCATTTCTTTAGTGTTGATCCTGGCTCGATGATAACCTCAAACGTGGGTCTTGGCGGACTGACAGGCACCACGATAAGCTCCAATACGTAAATGGTAAATTAGCCCTATCATTGGTGGACATTATCTATTTTTGTGTGTATCTTGATTGCACCATTTCATTCATGCAACTGGTTTTTGAACTCGCTGAAGGCATATGCGTTATGGCCTGATCGGTTAAGACACTAGTTACCTACGCCATGCCAAGTCTACTACGAGTCTGTAAAATTATTTTCATCGAGAGTTGAACATTTGGTCTGCTTGAGCAGCAATGCTTGGCATATTGTCAAGGGTTCGGGTAATTCGAGTTCTTGGCTTGCATGTCACTGTTCATGTAGGCATGTTGTCGCTACGAAATAGACATTTGGTGATTGATCCATTGCTCATCATTCGGATGCGACAATAATAAGATGTGCTTCCCCCAGCAATGCACGGGCCCTGCACGTGTTACACACTACACAACAATCCAGCACTCCCACTCGTGCCCTTCCCTGCCTACCCGAGGCGGCCCTTGGTGGGTATCTACTTTGTATTACATGTAAACAGCATCAATGTCATGAGGGAGGAGAAAAAAAAAAACACCGCGACTGTATACCGTCTTGGGGAATTTGATAGGTAGGTATACTTTCGGCGACTCAATCTGAAGAGAAATTATTACAATACAGGCAAAGATAGCCTGCCATTTTCGTGCCTGAGTACCGAGTCAACGATTCAATGACTATACCAATCAGGTCATGTTTCAGTCAATTGGTTTATCAATACTGTGGGAGTAGTATAGCATCTGGGGCTTTCCTCCTCGCTCTCGCCTAGTCTCACCTCCACATACCCACTGAGCGCAAACAACGGTGCGACTGTCATGACTCGAAGGCAATCTCAATGCGGGCGAGCGAGATAGGTCGGAACAGAGCAGAGTAACAATAACAATCAGAGCATCGTATACTACTCACCCCGTGTAGGCAAGTTCCCTTCTGTCATACATCCAGTCATTAGCTTACGGGTCTTCCGGCTGCCGATCGCTGAGGTCGCTGAAGATGCCATGTGGTCATACTGCTGTTTCTATTACGATGTTATTAGGAGACAATAACTAGTCACCTCTGCCTAGATGCACCCGCAGTGACCTGTCAGGCTGTATGTTGCGCTTTGGGGGACCCCCGGATCTCGGTCCATGTCTAGTGTACGGAGGAAAAATGTTCTCGCAAGCTGTACAATGTGCGCACTATTGTACTCCGTGAACTCATTGGCGGTATAGAGGTGATTTGAAAGTACTGCGGCGGTGACAGACTGGCTGCAATGCAAAGAACTAGGGAGCCATTTATCAAATGTAGTAGGTAGCTGTTATTCACCTACTTTGCCTGCCAAGACCAGGCTGCGAGTAGCCGGCCGGCCTACCAACGTGCCAATTACTGTGGCATTTATGGTCTGTCTTTCACTTTGCATTCCCCTTGAATCTAATTGGCCTCTTGTCCCTTGTCAAGATCTGGACACATGACGTCTGATGTGAGCGAGTCAAGACGGGAACCAGAAGGAAAAAAAAAAGAAACGGAGCGCCGCCAGCCATTAAGTCCGATTACCCTCCGCATTGTGTCGCACCTGCAGGGCCCTTGAAGCGAAGATAAGATAAGCCTAGCCTTGTTCCATCCTTATCAGTCTAGGAATACATCAAGGTATCGCCGTTTTCGGAAAAGCAACCCCTCCAATCCAACTCTTGCCCATCTCTCCCCATGTTTCGTCGCCTCGTTGCGAGAACAGGCCTGCATTAGGGATAATCCGTATCGTTTCATTTGCTTCTCCAGGGTCCAACCTCTCTCTTGCCGAATGGCGGGGTGTTGGATCTACTGTATCTCAGCCATGGCCAAGATGCCTCTACCTACTAGTCCGTAGGTACGTGATGTGTGTGGTTGATGAATACTAGGTAGGAAAAAGTGATTTCGTTGCTTCTTGACTCATTATCTCGTGAAATTTACCCCGAAGCACTGGTTCTCATATTCCCACTACGTAAAGGTACTGCCACCACCGCCTCAGGACGCTTCATGCCCGCCGAGTCGGGGTTGCCATAAGGTAATAACCCATTTATCTAGTCCCTGTCGTGGCACATGCACATCTTCGCCTTCACCGTTCCACCACCGTTGCAATATCTACTACGTGGTTTTCCTTTGATCTGAACCTCACTCCCCCTCTTCTTCCTTCTTCTCATTCATCATCCTATCGTGCAACTACATCTTGAGCTCAGCTCTGCTTTATACTCTCCCCATCACCTCCCAACAAGAGTATACCATTTCGCAATCTCCTGCCCTTTTACACGATAATCACCTTATCTCTCCATCAAACATGGGCTCTCTCTTCAACACCCCTCAAGGCCGTTTGGCCGGCAAGAACGCCATTGTCACTGGCGCTGCTGGGTAAGTTTACATTCATTGTCTGCAATGCGCTTGGTCTTCCAGGGGCGCCCCAAGGGAACGCGTCCTATGGTAGTTCTCGCTGCCTCACTGGAAGACTTTTGCGGATGAAACGAAACAAGGGAGTGGTCTAGCTGACATGTTCAAGTGGAATTGGTTTGGAGACATGCATCCTGTTCGCCAAGGAAGGCGCCAGCATTCTGATGACTGATATCTCGGAGCCTTCCCTTGAAAAGGCCAAGGCCAAGATTGCCCAGTTGGTTCCTGGCGCAAAGCGCGTCGAGACAATGGTATGTCTGATTTGTTCCCAAAGCTTCAAATCCTGCTATAGATTGACTAACTGCTGCTGCGTAGGTGTGCGATGTCTCCAAGGAGGCTCAAGTGCAAGCCGCCGTCGAATCGCTCGACTCCTGGGGTGGCCTCGATATCATCTTCAACAATGCCGGTATCATGCACGCACACGACGATGACGCTGTCGGCACGCCCGAGAAGATCTGGGATCTCACCATGGACATCAACGTCAAGGGTGTCTGGTACGGCTCCAAGCATGCAGTCCTGGCTTTGCGCAAGCATAAGAAGACAAAGGGCAGCATTATCAACACGGCATCCGTTGTCGCCCTGGTCGGCTCCGCCACTCCCCAGCTGGCCTACACTGCCTCCAAGGGTGCAGTCCTCGCCATGACCCGCGAGCTCGCCATTGTCCATGCCCGTGAAGGCTTCCGATTCAACAGCTTGTGCCCTGCGCCTCTCAACACTCCCCTTCTCCAGGATTGGCTCGGTGATGACATCCCCAAGCGCATGCGCCGCGAGATTCACTTCCCATCCGGCCGCTTTGGTGAGGCTATCGAGCAGGCCCAAGCTGTCCTTTTCCTGGCAAGCGACGAGGCAAGCTTTGTCAACGGCCACGAGATGGTAGTCGACGGTGGCATGACCAAGGCCTACGTTACCCCCGAGGGACAGCCGACGGCCGCTCCTGTCAACAACGCACTAAAGGAGGAGCTCTGAATTATACAGAGTGGCTAATCTGGCGGTAACGGCTGCAGGCAAGCCAGTTGACGCTGTTTAATGACTTGAGAGGTTGCTTGGAGCATGGAGTCATGGTTTTATGATTGCTAGAGGATGCGCTGATTCCCCAAAGAACGCTATGCCGTCGTTTCTTTGTCCCTGGTTCACGATAGACATGGCAATGCGTGCTTGAATTTTGTTTGACGCAGATAGATAGTGAGTTTGTACTGAATATATGTATGCAAAATCGCTCCCACAAACGCCATTCTGATGCTGCTTGCTCTGACTACAAGGGACATTACTATGAAACTTGCATCTTACAAAAATTGACCTTCCGTGTTACCCTCGCCCATACTCTTGCTGCCGCTGCTGCCACTCTGAATGGCCCCAAGAATACCATCGATATAACTAGCACCGCTCCACTTTTGGTGTGTCAAAACGTCGCATCCAAGCTCCTTTTCTCTTCTCTGGACGAGATTGACGTATGCCAGCATGCCATCCTTCTTATACTCCTTTGCGAGTTCATTGGTAATGGTGGCAGTACTGTGAAGACCTGCCAGAGAAATCAACTGCAATACGAAGCCCTCCTTTGCAATATCCCAAATAAAAGACTTGAGAGTTGCATCAGTAAAGCCATGTGCCATCCAATTGAATGAAGGAGACAGATTGTAGACGAGACCCTTGTTGGGATGCACCTTTCTGACTGCACGACCCAGCTTGGCCGCAACCTCGACTTGAGGATCGCCTGTTTCCACCCACAGCAGATCTGCGTATGGGCCAAAGGCAATGGCTCTCTTGGTTGCAGCCTTCATGCCCGCCCGGAAGTGGTAAAAGCCTTCACGCGTACGCGGAACGTCCCAGTCAAAGGTAATGGGCTGGCTGGCATACTGGTTGGCGAGCTTACGACGTTTGCTTATTCCCAAGTTGTTGTTGGATTCGACTTCTCTAGTGTATGCGCCAATATGTTCCTCTGACACTCCCTGTGCACGCAATTGCTCGACCGCAGCCTCATCAAAGGTAACAAGCCGTGTCTTCTTGACCCACTCGGCCTCAAATGCATCAATTTCCGGGCCCGGTGCACCCGCAGCCTCCATGGCCTGCAGAGTCTCTGCTAGAGGCGCAATACCTTGTTCTGCCACGCCCAAGATAAATTCATGGTCGCGGACATCAATGGCGCTTGAGATGAGCTTTCCGCTCTCGGAATCGGTACGAGCTAGAACGAGGTTCTCAGAGCCCATCACGTCCCACTGGAATCGAGCTGCAAGGAGTCGATTGATGTGCTCGCCTGTAGGCACCAGCACCTTGCCGGCCAAATGACCGCACTTTTTCCCGCCATGCAGCTGATCTTCAAAGTGAACAGCCGCTGCCCCGTTCTCGGCAAACAGTTTTGCCAATTTCAGAACTGCGCTGAGCCCACCGTGTCCAGTATCACCGTCCGCGACGATCGGCCGAAAGTAGTCGACGTACGGGGTCTTTGCTCGCTCATCAGGCGACAGTTTTCTGCGCAGATCCCATTGCTTTCGGTCGTGCATTGATTGCGCCTTGGCCATGCGCTGAACCTGATTTGGAACCGTGTTGTATGGATAATCGCCAAAATCGGGAGATACTTCGTTGGTAGAGGTGAGGACGGAAGAGCAAGCCCAGCCAGAAAGATAGAGGACTTCTTGGTGAGGTGCTTGTTGCGTCATTTGCACCGGATCAATGGCGCCCATGGTGTGAATTGGCTCACCCTTGGCCAGCCTCTCCTGAACCAAGTTGAAGAGTTTCCTAGCCATGAGCGAGCTTGGGTAGCTTTGCAGCTGCGAGCCACGCTTCGAAACGACATCAGCGGCAGTATACGGTCTCTTGATTCCCTCGAAACGGGGACTCGCCCACCAAGCCTCGACGTCCTTGATTTGTTGTTCGTAGAGAGCATCTTCTGCGGCGCCAGCCTTTTCCGTCTCGGGAAGAAGCTGGAAGGCGTCGGACGGAAGAGCAGTAGAGACGGGTGGATTAACGTCGGACATTCTTGACATGGTTGTGGCGAAGAATCGTGCACGGGAGCTGATGGAAGCAGTTGTGCGTAGCGGCGCGGCCGAGCAACGGGTAGCTCGGACAACTGCCCGGCGAAGCATGATGACTTGAATCCAGCAAGCGACGACGAACTAGGTATATTTATCAATCAAAGTGCGGAGTGCGGGCAAAGGCAAAGTTTCGAGTAGCGGTTGATTGGAAGCACCAGCAAGAGAAGTCCGACTATGAAGTGGTTCGCTTCAAGCTCGTGGGTGGATCTCGTCGGCGGGGATAATATGACGACAATCTTGAGGCTCGCCAGACAGCACGGAGTATATGATGAGATTGGTACCACCTTGACTGGTAACTCCGCGGCGATTGCAGGGCGAGGCGACGAACAAGCGGGCGACAGAACAGAGAGCACTGCGAGAGACAAGACACCATGGACAAGTAAAGAGTTGGACCGTGGTTATTTCCGGTAACCTTTTGCCGATTAGAGCAATGAACTCGGCATCAGACGTCGAAGCCCCCATACTTTTCATTGGGCAATTGAGGCCGAGCGTATGGGGAATGAGGGGAAATGCCCACTCAACCCGCTACACTTTTAGGTACCGTTTTACACTACGAGGCGCTAGAAAGTCCACCTGGGGCACCTTTGCCTGGTTAGTATAAGTGATAGTGCATTGCTGGTGCTATTCTCCCAGACAGCTGGAGGTTGTTTACACGCACTGTTGATAAATGACATGTCACCGAGCAGATGATGAACCGACCACCTGGTGAAATGGCGGACAGGGGTTTGAAATTGTTCCCATAATCCGAGTCTCTCCTCTCCTCTTTCTCGGCGAGACGGTAATGCCTGCGACTAGACGGTCTGACGGTTTCCCTCGGTTCATGCGGGGGAACCAGGTCATCATCGCCTGTTTCCCCTCCCCCACATGCTTGCATGCCTCTGCATCTACACGCCGAGCTTCAGTAGGTGGCTAGGTTAATATTTTGTTGGAAATCATTTGTTTTGCACTGCCCTGCCCTGACTGCATTTTTCTCATCTGTAGACATTCTACACATTGCGTCCAATACTTGTTGACTTTGAGCTCCTTATTCGAATTGTGCGAGTAGCCAATTGTCTCTTCTACGTACACACACCTATTTTGTAAAAGCTGCCCTTTGGCATACTGAGAATCACCTCCTTCCTCTAATAGCCGAGGCCTACATACCCTTTCCGTTGCGCACCAGAAGCCATGGCGACACATTTGAGAGCGGCCGCAAGGACTGTCGGCGCCGTACGTGTAAGTGCAGCGGTGCGAAATGGCCATATAAAATCTGTCAGATATCATGGAATATGCATTGGCCGTTTACTAAACGTTAAATGTAATAGCCCCGAGTCGCCCAGGTCGCCGCGATTCCCGTCACGAGATGCTACTCGTCATCTTCCGAGCCCGATTTGAAGGAGACCTTGAAGGAGGTCATTCCGGCCAAGCGCGAGCTTCTCAAACAGGTCAAGGCCATGGGATCCAAGGTCATTGGCGAGGTCAAGGTTGAAAATGCGATTGGTGGTATGAGGTATGGCATTATTCTTCCCTGCACCAGCACTTATCACCGCTCACATGTGACCCAAGAGGTCTCAAGGCCATGGTATGGGAGGGTTCTGTCCTGGACGCAGACGAGGGTATCCGGTTCCACGGCCGGACGATAAAGGAGTGCCAAAAGGAACTCCCCAAAGGCAAGACGGGTACAGAAATGTTGCCCGAAGCCATGTTCTGGTTGCTACTCACTGGCAAAGTCCCTTCGGTCGGCCAAGTCAGGCAGTTCTCCAGGGAACTCGCCGAGCAAGCTTCGCTTCCCGATTTCGTGAACAAGATGTTGGACAATTTCCCCAAGGACCTCCACCCCATGACACAATTCGCCATTGCCGTCAGCGCCCTCAACTACACATCCAAATTTGCAAAGGCTTACGAGCGTGGTCTGAACAAGTCAGAATACTGGGAGCCTACTTTTGATGACTGCATCAGTTTGCTTGCCAAGCTTCCCACGATAGCGGCCAAGATTTACCAAAACTCATATCGCAACGGCGGAGCGTTGCCTGCCGATGTGGATCTCGAGCAGGACTGGTCATACAACTTTGCTGCCATGCTGGGCAAGGGTGGCAAGGAGAATGAAAACTTCCAAGACCTGCTCAGACTATACTTGGCTCTTCATGGAGACCACGAGGGTGGCAATGTCTCGGCTCACACCACACATCTTGTAGGAAGTGCCCTCAGTGACCCGTTCCTGAGTTATAGCGCCGGCCTGCAAGGACTGGCAGGCCCCCTGCACGGCCTGGCCGCCCAAGAAGTTCTGCGATGGATTTTGCAGATGAAGGAGGCCATTCCGGACAGCTATGGTGAGACTGAGGTTCATGATTACCTGTGGTCTACTCTCAACTCTGGTAGAGTTGTCCCAGGCTATGGCCACGCTGTTCTTCGGAAGCCCGACCCCCGTTTTGAGGCTTTGATGGATTATGCCGCATCCCGCCCCGAGATTGCACAAGATCCAGTCTTCCAGCTCGTCAAGCTCAACAGCGAGGTCGCCCCAGAAGTGCTAAAGAAGCACGGAAAGACCAAGAACCCCTACCCGAATGTTGACTCGAGCTCTGGCGTCTTGTTCCACCACTATGGTTTCCACGAGACTCTGTATTACACTGCAACCTTTGGCGTGAGCAGAGGTCTCGGTCCCTTGGCTCAGCTCATCTGGGATCGTGCTCTTGGCCTGCCCATTGAACGCCCAAAGAGCATCAACTTGGAAGGTCTCCTCAAGGCATAAAGCATCCATGCACGAGTATTCGGCATGACTTTACCGGCGTTAGCGCTTTGATCTTCTTTGAAAGACTAGACTCGTTTGAAATGACTTGTTTCTCTTAATTTAGTTAGTTTGTGAATACAGGAATTGATTTTGAAGTCATGAACAAGCTTTCAGCTGTACAGTTCCCAGGTTGTGATTGGGTGAGGCCCTGAGTAGTATGTCAGGCTGGATGATTTCCCGGGACATTCTGCCGACTACGGTATTCCATCTTTGTGCATCCGTAAGTATCCATTCCATGATTTCGACCACGATGCTGAATCAATGACAGGAGCCTGACCGTCTGGTTCATGTGGCCTAATCCTTGTCCCTGGAATGTATTTCACGAGTAACATTCCAAAACCCGGAAACCCGTCCAGTCCGCGTATAAATGCATCTGTTGGGTGTTGGGTATAGCTAAAAATGAAAATAGAACATGCGCGCCTATACGACTTTGGCTCATATGAAGTGACATCGGCTGTTCCGGGCGGAACTTTGCGTATGCGCCCTTTCGGTGACGCCAGCTGATCAGCGTCAATGAGGCTAAATGGATATTTAGCCATGATTGGACGAATTAGCATCACCACAAAATCCAGACCGAGCTCATCTGAGACTCTTTCGAACCACAAAGGTGCAGTCGCTCTCGACCAATTCAGTAAACTGCTGTGGTGTAGCAAGAAGCTGAAAATCGTATTCTTGTAATTTTGCTCTGGCACACCAACGGTTTGAGTACCAACCATCACCAGACACTGTTTAAATACTCAACTACTGTTTGAGCATTTGAAGCTGGGCTTGATCGAAATGTGGCAATAATTCGCACCAGGCCGGAATTAACAACCAGCTGAGCCACGTGCTCACGTTTCTCATTTATGCTTAATTAAATGCAAGTTTGGAACGGGACAAAAATAGCAACGCATTTGGTAGAGAAGGGTCGCAACCTGAAGATTGACAATATCTCTAGACAAATAATATCGTCAAGAAATATCGCATGCTGTTGAGCACAATCCAGCAAAAGGAGGGGAAAGGTCTCGAGCATGACCTTTCCAACCACAACTTTGGGCTCTGAGCGAAGAGACTGTCCATCTTCCGTCTGGACAAGAACCGAATAGCTTGTTGACGTGTTTCTCAGCCGCGTTCTATAATAAGAATGAGAATGGAAACGACGCAGTCTAGGCCCAAGAAGTTGTACAGAAAGTGCCCTTGGCGCAATTTGTGTTCATCTACTAGCCGTTCAAAACAATAACCCGCAATATCGTGAAGGATTTCGTTGGAGCATAGTTGGGAAGTCGGTGAGTGAGAAGCTGAAAACCCGTACTATTAATCTATTTTGCAATATCGTGGCACAATGATGGAGTAGTAACGAATCTAGTTGCATATTCTGGCCCTGGTTTTCCCCGTCTTGAATGATCAACTTTGGCCCTTTCAAAACAAGTCACATTATACTTGCAGAACAACCATGCTGGCGAACCATGTATAAATATTGGCCGTATTCCCTTCAATATCAGGATTGGAAAACGTGAGAATAACAAGTGATCAAGACAGATTGCTAGCGGCACGAGCACCGAATCATTCCGTTGACGATAATCGATAATCTCTGCTCCAAAATGAGGTTCTTTGCCGCCTTTGTCGTCCCGGCTCTCGTCGCTGCCACCCCTCTTGGAGGTGTTGGAGGCACCAATGGCGATGTCCCATCTCCTGATCAAATTCAGATCATTAGCACCTCAAACTCTGGCAATGGATGTCCCCAGGGCACCGTGACTACTGACATATCTCCTGATAGAACCGTAAGTACTACGGATTGGCCCCGGGAAATGGTTACACTCTCTCGTGCTGTGCATAATCTCGTAACCCCTCTGTGTTCAAGACTTTCCACCCAGCATACTACAGACTAACCATCTTTAGGTCGTCACTTTTGGTTTTGATGGATTTCAGACATACATTGGTCCCGGCTTCACTGCCGCGGACAAGACCAAGAACTGCCAGCTGCACCTGAATCTGAAATACCCGGGAGGGTTCCAGTTCGCCATTGTCGAGTCTACCTATCACGGATACGCTCAGCTTGACAAGGGAGTGACGGGCACCTTTTACTCCACCTACTTTTTCTCGCAAGATGCAGCAGCAACGGTATGTCCCGCAGCTGAGTTGTATCATGTGCATCAGCTAACCTTTGGTAGACTACGACTCAAACATCCATCACCGGAGGAGGCACCTGGGCTGATGGACAAGTGTACACCAAGCAGGATCAGATTCCCACCACCTCGGTGGTCTGGTCCCCCTGTGGACAGACGGGAATTCTCAACGTCAACAATCGCATTGCGCTCACCAGCAGCAACAGCACTGCCTCTGGTCAGATCTCCGACGATGATGCTACAGTCGCCTTTACTCAGCAACTGCACGTTAGCTGGCAACCATGCAAGTAATTGTGTCACCTTGCCATGAGGGGATAGCTGGTTCTTGGGTCAGGCGCCATGTCGATTCTGCGCATTTGGGCATGGAGGCAATTGCAGTTCAAGCAAGGCACTAGCCTACTTTATTTTCTTCTTTTCACATATTCCTTTTGGATTATCTCTTCTGTCACATTGCTTCAGCTGGGGAATAGCATAACTCAATCAAGCCGTTACATTACTTGAAATTGCCCACTTCTGCCGTGTAGACCACCAGATCCGCAGATCGCTCAATTACCCCGACTTCTCCGCATGTCATGCAAGATGCGTTGGCGTTAGCATTCATCTGAACAGAGCACTTTTCGAGTAGTACTTATGCGCCATGCTTATAGGATCTTCGCAGCGTCGCATGCGGGGTCAATCAGAGAAGAATTGTCACAAGTACATACATGCCTTGCCGGAATGCATTATCCTCCGTTAGCACCAATATCGAGCACACTTGAGCTTGATATAACTTTAACAAAAGCGCAGAATCAAGGTGCTGCTACTGCTTGCAAGAATTATACAGCTTGTATTTCTGTAATATAAACGTTCAACGCTTTATCATGACTGCCAACGGCCAAACGCCTGAATACGACTTTATCATTTGCGGGTTAGTCATTGGTCAAACCCTGAATTAATGTGCTGAAGCTAAAGAAAAGTCAGAGGAGGCACCGCGGGCAGCGTGATTGCTGGAAGGCTTGCAGAATGTCGAGACATTACTATTCTCGTCATTGAGGCTGGCCAACACAATGAGAACCTCGAGAATACCAAAATGGCAGGCGGGTAAGTTGTAGCCCTTTGTGCAAGTGGTTGAGGATTCTACAATGCTGAACTATGGCAGATGGGCACAGCTTTTGGACAAGGAGACTGATTGGAACATTATCTCGGAGAAAGGGAGCGGAATACTTGACCGTCAGGTGAAACTCAGCCGCGGAAAATATCTTGGCGGTTGCTCAGGTTGTAACGGGACCTTGTGTATTCGTGGGTCAAAACAGGACTATGATGACTGGCAACTCGACGGCTGGAGCGGCGAAGAGTTCTTTGAGTACATGAAAAAGGTGTCGTATCCACAGCACAGAGTCCTATCGTGTCGTAGGACAAGACTGACGCTGCGTTTAGGCTGAAACCTTTCATTCCAAGCCCTGGTTCAAAACAAATGCGCAATTCCACGGATACGATGGCCCACTGCATATGGAACCTCACGAATTGGCACCAATATCTGAGCTTGTCCTCGAGTCCATGGTCTCCTCTGGGCTGCCACAAGATGATGACATGTTTTCTCATGGGACAAACCCGCACGGCTGTGGACACGTGCTTAGGACGGTCCACCAAGGAGTCCGCACAACGGGCGCAGATTTCATCACAAATGACCAGGCGAAACCAAACATTACAATATTGACCGAGACGCATGTGGATAAAATACTATTCGAGCGGACGCCTTCTGGAGAGTTGCATGCCACATGCGTCCAAGTCATCCAGCCGAGCGGCGTGGCAGCTGAGATTCGCGCCAAAAGAGAGATTATTGTTTGTGGAGGGGCTTACTGTAGTCCCACCATTCTGAATCGATCGGGCCTGGGTCGCAAAGAAGACTTGGAGAAGCTTGGTATCGAGGTCTTGATTGACCTGCCCGGCGTGGGTCAAAATCTGATGGACCACGTCATTGCCTTTATGTTCTATGAGACCGAACAGGAAGGACTGACCAATGACCACTTGATCTACCACGGCGATGCCGCCGCCACATCGTACAAGTTGTGGAAAGATACCAAAACGGGGTTTTTATCAACATTCCCATTTGGCGTGTTCGCGTTTGCACGCCTTGACGATCGTCTGAGTGATTCTGATCTGTGGACATCCGCTCCGAGAAAACCCGGCCGTGACCCCATGGGCTTGACACTGCACCAGCCAAATGTCGAGCTTTGGAATACCGAATGCTATGGGGGCCCAAAGCAGTATGATCAATTTCCCATTGATCACAAATATGCGTTTAGTGTTGTGGCCGAATTGCTTGGACCTCGGTCTCGTGGTCATGTCAAGTTGAAGAGCGCCGATCCGCTGGAAACACCAGAGGTAGACTGCGGTTATCTCACCGACCCATTGGACCTCGAGGTCCTTGCGGAAGGTTGTAAGCTGGCCAATGAGGTGATCATGAATGGGAGTGCGACAAAGGATATCGTCAAGGGATCATGGCCACCGAATCTGAACCACCATACCTATACCACCAGGGAAGAGTGGAAACCCTACATTCGTCAGAATGCCACAACATGTAAGCTCCTTGATATGTGCGAGGTTTTGCGCGGTACTGATTCGCAGAAGGCTATCATGCTTCGGGGACCTGCGCAATGGGAAAACCGGTTGACCCAAAGGCAGTTGTCGATGAAAAGCTTTTCGTGAAAGGCGTTTCGGGACTTCGTGTAGCGGATTGTAGTATAATGCCGACACTGCATGGTGGCCATACGCAAATGCCAGCTTACGGAATCGGCGAAAAATGTGCGGATTTGATCAAGGCGCATTGGAAAGATTTATCGGGCGCCAAGTAAAATGCCGTCAGTACGGTGCAAAGGTTGGAATGGCCCGAGACGGGAGTCATGTTGGGTATTTGACTTTAACTCTTCTTCCTGTTAAATCTAGATCAAATCAAATATTGTCCATTCTCCATCTACACCAAAGTCCGGGTCAAAGTTCTTTGCAGTTCTAGTCAAGAAATCATGTTTCAACAATCCCAGTCTCTTGTATGTCACGATCCGGTCTGATTGAAGAGTTTCTGATTGAGATTTTTCCAAAATGAGGGCCTGGAAACTTTCTGTACTCAGACATATCATTGCAAGCAGAAACCTGCCTGCATCGCGCTCCAGGCAGCGTAGAAAGTCGGCTTTCTCCCATCCATCAAGACGCATATCCCGAGGATCAAGCCGTGGTAGCATAAGAGCCAATGGTTTGAGAATAGATTTCAATCGCAACCTCGCTGGTCCATTGTTGTTGGGAAACGTGCCCTCCAGCTGTGCAGTATTTCTGGCAGACCCCCTGTGTGCATCAAAATCTATGCGACCATGCGAAGCCCAGGACCAAGAAGGGAATTGCTGGTCTCCATATGAGTTACCCCTCGTATCATCCAGCCCAGAACTGGACCAAGCAAGGCTCAATGGCAATGATTCTTCCCAAAGACCTACCATGTATCTCGGTTTCGGCTCGTAAGCCTCTTCGAGAGTCTTGACAAGAGAAGATACTGCGACAAGTCGGTCGGAATGATAGGTCAATTGCGCCGTCGTGTAATATTCGATAAAAGAAGTCCAAACCTGCGTAAGCTGTTCCTCACGAGGTCGGGCGAGCCATGATTGGATCTTGTACATCATACTACTGTCGTCCGCTCCCTCTTGAGAATCTTCATCGTGGCCCTCGGGATCCCACTCGGGTGCCTGCTGACAAGAACACTCCCAGGACACGAAGCGATGCCCAAAGTGAACCATTCTTGACGAAAATAGTCGCTCCTGAACTACCCAGCCGCGTCGTTGAAGCTTTGAATGGGTTATCTCGGCAGTGTAGTAAGGTTTGGGTAGATGAACAAGGTATCTGTGCGCTCTGCTCGTTGTGTCTTCAATCAAGATGTAGGGATCCGAGATCGAGTACGTAGTCTGTGGTCTGGGTCCGAGGAAACCCTCGTGGCAAGTCAATGCACTCACTGCCGACAAGGTCACCAGGGCGTTTCTGTAATATGACCCAATATTTTCAGCTTCGCTTCTCCAATCGCCATCATTTCCTTGATGGGCTTGGACGATGCAGAGGGCATCAATCCAGACATAGCGAACGCCCATTTCCCGGGTCACGATGATGGCATCCTGCATCGTCTTTGGCATGATGTTCCATGGAATTCCTTGTTTGAATGATGTAAGAGTGCTCTCTGTGGTTCGGCATGAGTGTGACTTGACGCCCCACTGATAACTGAGGGCAGTGTAGATTCCTCGTTCCTCCTGCTGCGTAATGTGTATCTTTGGATCAGGCCAACCACCTTGAGGATCCCGGCTGCCAACATCAATGACCCGGGTTGGCAATTGAACTTTTCCACCATATGGTGTTGCATTCGGCTCGTTTCCAGGCGTATGGCACATGGTATGAGTCTCTAGACAGCGGATCACCCAAGATTGAATCATGGAGACCAGGTCGGCAAAGTTGGGAACTAGGCCTGTGATGGCTCAGTGATTGTGAAAGTTTCTTCCCCAGGGATGCTTACTGAAAGTGCTAATCTGCTCACTCGGGGGGTCATACAAGACCTCAATTTCAGCGCTCCCCCGGCCATTGCAAATGACAGCCAAGTTCCCCAGACGCGCACCATCTTTCCAAACTCTAGCGCTCAAACTGATTTGCGCATTTCCTGCCGGTGGATCTGGAGTCTCGTAGACGCTGAACTCGTACACAAGGGCTTGCCTGAGAAGACGACAAAAGTTGCATCCTTGTTCTGCTGACAAGCAGAGCGCAGAATACCTTGAATGAGGGATTTCTGTTCGTGGTTCAGTTATGGCGCGACGCATTGTATCACTGCAATTTGTGCAGGGCTCTGGCTCAAGCTGTTTGAAAACAAGCATTTCAAAGAAGATGACTTGCGAATATAATATACTGGCCTGTTCATTTGCTACTATTTGATTCTCGGCGATTGAAAGAACCTTCTTGCTCAACAGCGCCGCTGGAGGGGAATCCCAGCTGCTGACTGCAACACGATTCTTTCTCCACCTAAAGCGAATCCTTCCATCGTCAACAAGAAAAGAATGTGCTGCACACGGGGCCACAAGTTGTAGTGCGGTGGAAATCAGGCCCACAATCATATCCAAACATGATTATTCTCGTTGGTAGATGAAGGATCGTTAAGTTTTGCTGAACGATGAACGTGGAATTACCTGCTATACTATTGTTAACTTGGTTAAAGTTGGCGAAATCCCTAGGCTCGGCGCTTCGGCACAGAAAACGACGCCGAAGTTCGTGACAGCACTGCCCGGCACAAGCATACTTTTCTGCAAAAAGACGTGCTAGCAAGACGCCGGTGACTCATATGGCCTGTAATTGATTTGTCTTCAATTGCCAGTCTGAAAATCTTCAATCGAAGGGCTTACCTCATCAATGAGGTCGTGGGTTCCGGATGCGCGGCAAGGGACTTGCTTGGAATAAAGCACCATACTGACTTTCGGCTTGGTGGCTAGCCTCTGGTACCGAGCGTCTCCCAGCGCCATCTTAGGAGCTCTAGCGCCCCGTGCGGACGCTACAGGCTCGCTCCGGAGCGACTCATGTTGGTAAAAAGGTCCAACTTTCAAGCACCCCACAGCAGTTTATGGAGTCCATTGTGGTGAAAACTGCGGCGATATAAATAATGTATATCTGCTCTGGACTCTGCCATGCAATAAGATGTAGTCAAAATCCCAATGTATTTGCTCCTTGAGCTCATGTACAACTGCAAGAAACTCTTTATTATCAACTTCGTTACAATCAACCTACCCGAATGTCTCAGTTACCCGTCTTAATCATTGGTTGCGGCATAGCTGGCCCCATCCTCGCCTTGCTTTTGAAAGCAAAAGGATACCATGCAATCGTATTTGAGAAAGTTCGGCAACTTGGAGATGCCGGTGCTTCCTTGATGCTCATGCCCAATGGTATGAAGGTCTTGGATTTGGTGGGATTGGCCAATGATATCTACGCCTCATCAATTCCCCTGGAGGCTTATGAGGACTTTACTGCAGCTGGCGAACCACTGGGATCTTCAGGATTGCCTGCCAGATTCCTGGCAAAGTATGGACAGCGGGCAGTGGGAGTCAAGAGAACGTGGTTGAACCTCACCCTGAAGAACCGAATGACGTCGGCCGGCATAGAATTGAGAGAGGGTTGGGAGCTTGTCAGCATTGAGGAGGACACCCACGCCGTCACTGCATCTTTCACAAATGGTCAAAAGGTCCAAGGACTCTTTATTGTCGGCTGTGACGGGATCAAGGCGGCTTCAAGGCTATCCTTACTGAAGCAAATGAGTGTTGAACAGCCGTCACCAACTTTCACTGGACTGACACAAACTTCTGGTATTTCACCAGCTCCGAGCACTCCTGCTAGGCCGTCATTGAGGAATTGGTTTGGTGAAGGCGTTCACTTCATTTCTTATCCCGTGTCTCGCGATCGAATCTCTTGGGCAGTCACGCTGCCTCAGACTCGGGTAAGCCCAGAATCATGGCGATTGTACAAAGATCAAGACATGCAAGAACTCCAGGATGAGCTGTCGAAAGTGCTGCAAGGATTCGAACCAAGTATTGTTGAGCTGGTGCAGTCAGCAGAGAGACTCTTGAAGTTTGGTTTGTTCGATAGAAGAACACTGGACGCGGACGAATGGTACAGTGAACGAGTCGTCCTGGCCGGAGATGCCGCACATCCCACGAGTCCGCATCTTGGACAAGGTGCTAATCAGGCGTTGGAAGATTGCTATCATTTGAGCCAAGCCTTGCCAGATTGCACCGGTATGAATGCGGCCACAACGAATATCGACTTGCCGTCTGTATTCAAGCAATATGCCCTCAAACGCCAGCCACGAACAGCAGCGCTGGTCAAAGGTGCCAGAGCTGCAGGAGAGAAGCGGGTGGTCACAACAGGATTGAAAGACTGTGAGAGTCGAAATCACAAAGTAAAGGAAGAATGGTTGGACACTGTCGCCATTGAGGCCAAATTTGATGGCCTATGCAGAGAACCATTCAACACAGTTGCTTGACAACGGAACTCACGGAGAGCCAAGAGAAAGGACATGACCTCGGCTTCATGGTATCAGCAATGATTGCGTCATCAAAGAAGAGATGTGCGCTGTCGTACGTACTACGCGATGCCGACTTCTAATGTCACATGGGGAATCCAATATGAAATTTCCTATACAATAATGATATACGGTAATCCCCTTTTTTGTGCAGCGACAAGATCCATGGCCTGTCAATTATATTGGGCCCGCAATTCGCCCCCTCCATAGTCAAAGCAACAACCTTAGTCAGAAGCTTTATTGCTGCTATTGAAATGCCGAATAGGGCCTCTAGGGCCTCGAGGGCCCTGTATGCTCAACGGTTAAGTTGCCGCATGTGCCCGCACCCACCATGGCGTCGTCGCGATCTCCACTAGATACTGCTACTTGCATCTTGGCACTTGCAGCCAACGACCGTTGCATTGGCCAATTACTGTAGTACGGTAGGGTTGCCTTCAGGCGTATTATTGAAGTCCTGGCGGCACCTTGCCCCGGGTTTCGTTGTGGAACTAAACATCAATGCACTGGCTTGTCGACCAGGTATAGAGGTGCCCCGCCATGCCAAAAGCGTGCACAATCTCCGTCGGCGCCAGGCACAAAGCTGGAGTTCGGCCCACCTGACGACTCGGATGTGGGTAGCATCCCGAATATCAACTCGGCAGCTGGGAAAGGTCGACTGCAATACTCATGATGATCTTCGTTCGGCACATAAGGTCCTTCAGGAGATGGCCTCGCTTCCAACTGAGCGATGTCACGCTGCCAGCATGGATCTAGACCCTGTCGCCGCATGGCATACCATTACGCGAAGCGATAGGCACCCCCGGACTGGCCAAATGCAACACGAACACACGAGACCCTCACCAACATGATCATGGAATCATGCAAAGCACCGTATGGAAGCCCGGCAATGCGGTGCTATTGATTCGAGTCGGGAAAGCACACTGCAGATCGCTCAGCATGTTATATAAGGGATCCTTTTGCGCCACGCCAGCTCTTGCGAGGGAAGGATGCACATCGCACTCCGGCAACAGACCATTGACATTCCTTCGCCATGCGTGCGCATACTTTGTTGGGCCTCTTCTTGGCCTCGCTTTCCTCCTTTGCTCAAGGTGAAGACCTTACCGGCTACGAATATGTCGTCGTCGGCTCCGGAGCTGGTGGAGGTCCCGTAGCTGCACGACTGGCTTTGGCCGGCCACAAGACACTTCTCATTGAAGCCGGCGACGATCAAGGAGCCAACGTCAACTACACCGTGCCGGCTTACAACGCCAAGGTGTCCGAGGACGAAAAGGTTTCTTGGAACTTTTTTGTCCGCCATTACGCCGACGATGAGCAGCAGGCACGAGACTGGAAGACCAGCTACGATACCCCAGATGGTGATATCTACACTGGACTTGACCCTCCCGAGGGCTCCGTCATGAAGGGCACCTTGTACCCCCGAACCGGTACCCTCGGAGGCTGCACGGCACACAATGCCCTCATTGCCGTGTACCCCCACCAGTCGGATTTCGAATATATTGCCAACCTGACTGGCGACGACTCATGGTCGCCTACCAACATGCGCACCTATTTTGAGAAGCTCGAAAAGAACCAGTACCTGCTCCCTGGTATCGAGGGCCATGGATACGACGGATGGCTCGAGACAGAGACTCCGCCCCTGAGCATCGTCCTCGGCGATACCCAGCTCCTGTCCATGCTTACTGGCGGCGCTTGGGCCTTGGGCAACTTGACTGGCGGCTTGATCGATCTTGCTACGCTCATTGCCGGTGATGCAAACGCCGACACCTTGAGCCGTGACCAAGACCCGTCATACTACCAAATTCCTCTGAGCACCAATGACGCACACCGAACAGGTGCTCGCGAGTTTGTGGTGACTGTCCGCGATGCCGTCAACGATGACGGCTCCAAGAAGTATCCTCTGGACGTCAGACTAAACTGCCACGTCACCAAGGTCGTTTTTGACAACAGCACCTCGCCGCCCACTGCAACTGGAGTCGAGTTCTTGGACGGTGCGCATCTGTACAGTGCCAGCCCTCTGAGCGGCGGTGTCGGTACTCCAGGTTCTGCTACCGCGTCGCGGGAAGTCATCATCTCTGGCGGTGTCTACAATTCGCCCCAGCTCTTGAAGCTCTCTGGTGTTGGTCCCCGAGAGGAGCTCGAGTCCTTCAACATTTCCGTCATCAAGGACCTTCCTGGTGTCGGTACAAACCTGCAAGACCACTACGAGATCTCCGTCAATGCCAAGGTACCTACCAACTGGACCGCTTTCGAGGGTTGCACTTTCAGCTTTGATGGAGAGTATGACGAGTGTTTGGATCGCTGGAACACTTCCATCCTTGGCGACCGCGGTACCTATTCTTCAGCTGGTTTGGCTGCTACCATGCTGTACAAGAGTACTGTCACTGAAGATGATAGCTTCGATGTCTTTGTCTTTGGAGGCCCCGTCAACTTCCGAGGCTACTTCCCCAACTACAGCTACAACGCCACCAAGTTGCACGACTGGTTCTCGTGGGCCATTCTCAAGGCCCACCCGCGCAACAGAGCCGGTAGCGTCACCCTCAGGAGCTCTGATCCTCTGGATATGCCCGAGATTGTCTTCAACTATTTCCAGGATGGAGCCGATGAGGACTTGCAGGCTATATACGAGGCGATTGAGCTCGCACGAGATGCCTATGACCGCCAACTTGTGCCGACCATTGAGTCGCTGCCTGGCAATGAGACGGACACGGAAGAAGCCGTGAAGCAGTACATTCGGGATGGTACATGGGGCCACCATGCTTCGTCCACCTGTCCCATTGGTACGGATGATGATGAGTATGCGGTTTTGGATTCGGACTTCCGCGTCCGCGGAGTCAGTGGCCTGCGCGTCGTAGACGCTTCAGTATACCCACGCATTCCAGGCACGTTTACAGCAGTTTCCACATACATGGTTGGCGAGAAAGCCGCAGATGTCATTTTGGCAGGACTGACCAACACCACTGATACTTCTTCGTAAATATTTTCTTTTTTCCTCCGTAACATGACCAGATAGGAAATATAGCGGGTAAATTGCAAGATAAAGATGCGTCACACTGCAAACATGATTACTTGACACGTATTCCGATCGCGAAGTTGGTTAGAGCTGGCGATTTTAGGCCTAATGTACTTGCCCATGTACTAAAACATGGTGCCTCAATGTTCTTGTGAGACATGATTGAGCACTGCTTGGTTTCCGCCAGTAAACTCTGCCAAGATCTGGACAATAATTCCAAGAAAATACAAGATGGAGCCAAACTAGTCGATCCATTGCAAGGGCTAATTAGTTGTCAAGTAGCTGAACCATTGTCAAGCGTAATCATGCCCGTTGGAAGCCAGCTTGGTCCTTGACCAGTATTTGTCGAGAAGTCTCCTGACATCATCAGCTAGCATTTGCCGCACAGAATGATAATTCAGACCCGAGCAGGCTGTTGAATATTCGTCATGCCAAAGTGTTCTGCACCACCGTGCTTTGTTTATACATGTAGAATCTACATATGCAAATGCACCCTCCCCAATGTATGCCACATCTCTCCAGGTCTTAGTCCCATTGATTACATTTTACAATGCCCATATTCAAGCTTGCCCAGCGGGGTTGTAGTCTTAGCAGCTGCAGAAAAGTGCCCGGCCAAAACCAGATGGATTCCAAGACTTTGATGATGTAGTCAATCTACAATTGACTTTACTAGTCTTGACTGGCTTGAAATCGTGATTCCGTTGAAAAAAGTCCATGCTTCACTCTCGATAATTGATCCAGGGCGTTCAGCTGTTGTTGCAGAATGACGAGATGCTGAACCAAAGCAAACTCTAATGAAGTGTATTTTCGCAGAGCCATGCAGGTAACTGGGTTTTATGGTTCTTGACATCACGTAGGGAGAACGTCACTAATAAGAAGGGCCACTAATCTCAAAAAGCCACAATCGCGTACGACATGATGCATGGCTGGTCGCGTTAGCTGAACTCAACGTAACGGTCACTTTTATTCAAATAAAGACTACGAACATGGCGAGCTCTCGTACAATTTACTTACCTCGTATATACCTTAGTCGTTCAAGGTACTGAGAGAATTCGATAACTTACACGTCAATCTGTTGAAGCAAGCCGGCATCATGAATGAGGCAGGATACGTGGACATGCCCGTCCAATCCGAGGGTATTCAGCATTCGGGGCAGCCTATTGCCAATGGTTCGTCTATCAACCTGTATCAGTATTGCAATTATTGACAGAGCATTCATCACAAAAGTTCCCACCATGGTGCAAGCATCACTGCGTCAGCCTTTAGACCCCCGGCTCGATAATACTCTGCATCACAACATGGGTGTGCAAGGCCAGGGCAACATTTATTCAACTGCTGGCTCCCATATGGGTCAGATGGGTCAGATAGGTCAGGGTTATGATGCAGGCTACTTGCGCAACGACTACGCTTCGCGCCACGAGTACATGGATCATGGAGAGCATGCTGGCCCTTTGAAGAAGGCAATTGGTAGGGAAAATGCAAAAATTTCCAAAGAAACTGCGCTGACACATGCGCTGAAGCTCACACGGATAGTCTTTACAAGTACCTCGATGTGAGTTTTCCGGCCGTTATACTAGAGCTCACTAACTTGTGTTTGATTTAGTGGGAGAACCCTCTGCGTACCGTCGGATCCTATGTTACTGCTGCAAGCTTGTTGCTTGGGTTGCATTACTTTCCTCTTACTTCGTTGCTTTTGAAGGCTGTTGCAACCGTCTTGGGAGGTGTGCATTCCTAAGAACCCTCATGTGCGCAAGTGCTGACTTGAGTCTAGTCATGTCGGTTGCAGCTTTTGCTGGTCAGTCCTTCAACAGCAATGCCAACACCAAAACTCGACATGACCGCCGTAACTACACAAAAGTTCCAGAGGCTACATTGAACGCGACTCTGAGAGATGTTCACGACTTTGTTCAGTATGCTGTTGTCGAAGCTCAGAGAATCCTCTTTGGCGAAGACTTGTCCAAGACACTTGCCGTAGGTTTCGATGCAATAGCAACGTCATGATCATACTGATATCCTTAGGCATTTGCCGGTACCACTGCTCTGTACTGGTTCATCAAAGTGCTGTCCCCATTCGGTCTGACTTTTCTGGGTCTAACATCTGTTTACATTGGCACGCTTATTGCCTCTCCACGTGGACGTGCAGCCACTCGGGCAGCAGGTAGACGTGCCAGCGATGTAACCAGCGCAGCCGCACAGAGAGGCAAGGCTTTTGCAAGAAGTGGCAAAAAACAGGCTGTCGACATGTCAAACCAAGCTCAGGAGACCGCTTCGGATGCGCAGAAGAATATCTCCGACACGGTCAGCAGTACCACAAAGAATGTATCCGACACAGTGAGCAGCAGTGCAAAGAATGTATCCGACACAGTTGGTAGCGGTACAAAAAGCACCACCACCAATCTTGCTCAAAAACTGGGCATTTCTGGCAACGATTCTCAAGATGCTGGTCTTGAGTCTACCAAACGCACATCTGATTCTGCATCTACTGGCATATCGAGTGGTGTGTCCTCCCATAGGACAGTGGACACCGAGCCGCGCCATACCAAAGGAAACAAGTCTGGGAGCCGCAATACCGGAACGTCCAAGTCTGTACTCTCTGGCGATATGACTAGCAACTACACGACCAGTACAATGCTTGGAGAGGGCGACAAGAGTTTCGATACTGCCGGTGCTGCGTCACATGGCACACAAAACGTGCCCCGTTCTACTGTTGCCATGGATCACGCAGCAACGAGCAATTTTCCAGGTTATGGAAATGTTGACCCTTATATCGGAAGTTCAACTAATGCCACAACTGCAACGGACAACTCATTGAACCAGGGTACGGGCAGCACGAATCCGTTCATACACAATGCCGGCTTGGGAGCCACAGGTGGTAACGCTGGTGATGCCATGTCCGACAAGAAAGCCGGTGACGCTCGAACGGCAAAACTTGCTAAAGGTGTTTCTGTAGGTAAGACGGATATTTGACTGTACGCCGGAACACGCACATTTGCTAGCCAGGTTCCTATATGCCAGGTTTGCGGGGGTTGAATATGTCTTGCGCTTGACGATTTTATGAATGTTGCCATGCAACTACCGATCGTTTTGAATCATGCAATTGGCAGAGGATAATCAAGATTAATTTATCTGGAATCTAGTTAATCAAACAGCTATGAATTGTAAAATATTCCTAAAAAACAGTCGCGCATTGCGATTAACATTGGTGCCTTGTGAAGCTAAGCCTGTGTGTATGCTGAACAATTTGTATGACCCAAACCTGGGCAAAGCACCCAGTTTCGAGAAGGTGCTAGGTCAATTTGATGTACGTACTTGAGAAACTCTACAAGGGGTTCGTCAGCACAGCTAGCATGATTCATGCTCGAACTGCCGATAGTTTTTCGAGCCCCTAGGTGAAGTGAACGCATGCATTTATACATTGCCCCGCGTTGACCTCGGATCGGCGGGAGCACGATTGCGGGGATGAACATGATCATGGGGTCAGCTCTCGCCAGATCTTGAATAGGTCCCATCGACTGGAGTGGATTTTAGAAAGCGATCGCGGGCATACGAAAAAGCCAGAAGTAAAGAACCTTCTTTCAGCGGAGATAACGAAATCGCCATCATGAGAGCATTGCGATACTATGGAAAAGGAGATATCCGACTCGAACAGGTCGAGGAGCCTAGAGTTCGTCCAGGCTGGGTCAAGGTAGGTATCAACTCGCCATATCTCTGCAATCAAGTCTCATAATCATTATAAATAGGTCAAGCCAGCGTTTGTTGGCATCTGCGGGACAGATTTACATGAATATCTTGGAGGAAATAATTTGATACCCAAGCCTGGTCACCCTCATCCCATCACTCAAGAAACCTCCCCGGTGACTCTGGGCCATGAATTTAGTGGATTTGTGGAGGAAACAGGTGATGGAATCACAGACTTGCATCAGGGCGAGAGAGTCTGTGTACAGCCGACGATATACTGCAATGATTGTGATTCCTGCAAAAGAAACATGCACAACGCCTGCACCAGGAATGGGTTCATCGGACTCAGCGGTGAGCCATGAAACAACTGTCAGATGTTTGTATTACTGATAACCGTATAGGCTGGGGCGGTGGTCTTGCTGATTACATTGCCGTCCCAAGATCGGCAGTCTGGAAACTCCCCGAAAATGTGTCTCTTGAATTTGGAGGCAAGTTTTATTCATCATCAAAGTGGTGCCTATGGCTGCTAACGAACCCAGCCCTCGTCGAACCACTAGCAGTCGGATTCCACGCCGTCAGCATTGCTCCAGTTATACATCCAATTCCAGCTGGTACAGCGCTTCTTGTCCTGGGTGGTGGGCCAATTGGACTTTCAGTGATTCAAGCCATCCTCGCTCAAGCAGACTCATCAGATGACCCTCCACTGATTGTCGTGTCGGAGCCATCCAAAGCCCGGCAGAATTTTGCACGTGAATTTGGAGCCCAGCACGTTGTCGATCCGCTAAGGCAAGATCTTGTTACAGAGGTTCAGAAGCTGACAGGCGGACGTGGATGCGATGTGGTCCTCGACGCGGCGGGCGTCCAGTCGGGATTGGACGAGGCAATGCAATGTCTGCGGGCGGGAGGTACCGTTGTCAACATAGCAGTCTGGGAGAAGCGAGCGACGTTGGAAATGAACCAGCTGACGTTTAGGGAGAGGGCTTACATTGGATGCGCAACCTATAACAATCAGGACTTTGGCCATGTTCTGCAAGCCATGGCAAGTGGCAGGATCCGCCCGGGTGCGATGATTACACGAATGATTGACATTGAAGACATTGAGGACAAAGGATTCCGAGCATTGATCGAGGAAAAGGACACACAGGTAAAGATTATGGTCGATATGGGAAGAATTAGGCGCAAAGATAGCGCCGTTGTTGTTTCTGGCGAGGGTGGGGGGCGTGAGGTTGTCGTGTAATGATCAAACCTCTGTTTTGTCAAGGCGAATCTAGCATATCTACTCGACAAAATTCGACGTATATGGGAGACTCTGCCTGTTGAAATTGTGTGCGGCATTCCAACGACCAAAGGCACAACGCTGATTGCATCATTTCATTGTCACATGATGAAATTCTAGCGAATCATGGGCGTGACAAGTGCTTGGATATCTAATGTGGAACAGCAATAGTAATTACTTGTATCTAGGTATATAACAACCGTATTCCTAAATGACTGTACCCTTGTTTTGCTTCCTGTCCACATTGTAATTCTTCCAAATGGCAATGGCAGGGATAGCAAGAATAAGAACACAGGTGGCGGAGATGGAGTTGAGCTTTTGACTCTCGCCCCAGGCATAGTTGATGGCGTCGCGAGTCTCGGAGCCGACTGGATATGTCAGCTGAGTAAGGTACCCGCCAGTGTAAATGTCAGTCCAGTTGCCTTGAGTTTCAGCAGGCAGAGCACTGAGCAATGCAGCAGGGAATGTGTTGCTGTAAATAGCTGCAGTGACGGCGGAACCAATCGCACCACCAAGACCAGAAGACAAGCCCAGGATGGCCAGCATCATGGGTACACCATCACGGTCAGCAGCAGCCATGACAGCCATGTCCTCGCCAATGACCAGAGTGCCACCAGCGATGGCGATGAAAATTTGACACATGACAATGTAGCCAATGTTTGCGTCCTCGCCACGGAAGCGAATCATGAGACCAGCACCGAGGAACATGAGTGGTAACCCAAAGAACAAGCAGGCATACTTGAAGTGCTTGGTCCAGCGAATATAGAAACCAAAGACAACTCCCCAGAAGCAAGATCCAATATTGTAGATCTGCGTCATGTACCCAGTGTTGGAAATGTTGAGATCGTAGACAACCATGATGAAGTAGTAAAAGTAAGTGTCCCAACTGTAGAAGCTGTAGTAGAGGATGGCAGACAGGCAACAAGCGCCCAGAACCGTGCGCTTCTTGAACAGCTCCCACCGGATAAAGTGAGTCCTGGTACCATACTTTTCCCAAGCAGCAAAGACGAAAAAGAGGCAAAAGCCAATGACAACCATGGCGATAAAGGTTGCCGACTTGTATCCAGCACGACCATAACTGCTCAGGCTAAAAGGCAGCAGGAACAAGACAAAGGCGCCAATGAGGAGAAATGCCCCGAGTATATCAAACTCGTGAAAGTAGTGCTGAATTGACTGCCAGGTAGTGCGGCCACTGGGAGTCCTCGTAAACAGGCCTTGCTTTGCAGCCTTGATTTGGAAGAACTGGGCAAGTTAGTTTGTGAGTTGACAGTGTGTTGTTTGGGAGACGTACCTTGAATATAATAGCCAGAGGGGTGAAAGCAAAAAACATGATTGCAGCAAATGAGCCAATCGTGACTCTCCAGGTAGTCATGGTGAGGAAAGACTGGGCAGCAAGTGGTCCAGTGAATGCAGTGCAAATGAATGGCGTGCTGACAAAAGCAAAGGCAAAGGCACGATTCCGCAGTCCAGAGGTATCGGCCACAAAGACGTCCATGATGAAGTAGATGGCATCATAGCCAATCCAGTACAGGACATAACCGGCAGCGAATCCATTGGCATCCTTGCAAGCAGCAATAACAACAATGCCGAGCAGGTAGACTGCCTCAAACACCAGGAAACCCTCGGCGCGACCCCACAAGTTGAGCATCTTTGCAATTGGCAGCTTCAGCACGCTACCAATAATGGCAGACAAGATGTAGGCAGTGGTGATTTCTGGGGCGGTGGAGAAGTCCGAGTACGCCAAATACATGACGTTGCTCAGGATGGACTGCTGGAGAGCGAGCATAAAGAAACATATCCATATCCTAGAGACTGTGAGTGATGGAGGGAGATGTTTTGATTCTCTGACCGACTTACCAGCCATAGGTCGCCAACACGGCATTGCGCGACCACACAAGAGCGGCGGCTTCGGCTTTTCTTTGACCAATTTGCGCGTCCGCCGTCACGGAATCAGGATGCTCGCTAATTTCCTGTTCATTTCTCTCTTCCAGGCTGATGCTGTCCGAGTTGTCATTGGATGGCGCGACATTGGACGTTCCTGTCTTTTCGTCGGCCTCTGGCACTCCAGACGTCGCAATGTCGTGCGCGACGCGACCGTCTTTGCGGCCTCGGATCATGTCTAGGACAGCAGGCATCCTGGGCAATGATTAATGGTCACGGCAAGGAAAAAGATACAGAACGATACTTGATAGAGAACAGCAGTAGCAACAAGGGGACTATGCCCGTATTATATCTCGACTTGGCGGATGGGAATAACTCAAGAGCACGGCGGTTCCCTCCAAGCGGAGCTGTGCAACCTCTAGACTATTTCCCGCGGCTTCGGCGCTCTCCACTGATTAGATCCACCGCATGGCAGCAAGGTCAGAGCCCCACTTTACCACAAGAAGGCAAGTCAAGGTGCCAAGAGGATCTGATAAATGAACGGGCAGACCCTGTAGGCCGTTTCTCTTGCATCTGGTTGGTTGATTGTGCGAGGTTCTAGGACAAGACGGACCGTAAATCTCTGCCCACTATGAATGGCCTGATCAAGAAAAAAAAATCTGTTTCGCCTCGAACCGGAAGTCTAAAGGTGCACCATGACGGCCCGGCGCGAACATACTGGCCACTAGAATTTACTGCGCAAGCTGCGCTCGGCTGTCGGTAACGTTGCAAGCCTCGAAGCTGTCAGTACGTTACACAATACACACATCATATGCTCAGACAATGGCATCCATGTTGCCACTTACTTGCCATGGTATCAAAGTCTGATCATTACGATCAGTTGGCGCCAAAACCAGGTCTTGCAACAGCCCTACCATCTGTGCGTTTGTCAGGGTCCACCAGGTGCAATTTCATGAGAAGAATAGAAACCTTGTTAGGCTTGTCAACGGGAGTGGACAAACTCTGGTGAAGCTTATCAGATCCGGAAGTACCACCGGATTTTAGTGCACGTTGACCGACCCTGCAGCGCTGAACCCACCAAAATCCTGCATAGGCTGGACGCTGGGCCGTTTGTTAGTGTACCGAGGCACTGGGAATATTGCGGACTCTGTACTGAAGAGAAGGTTATGTCCTGTGCTGAGTTTATTCGGACTGAACTGCATTGAAGCAATCTATGCAACTTGGGTTATTTTTTTTTTTTTTTTTTTTTTTTTTTTCATATGCCTACCAAGGTCTTTCGGTGTAAATCTCAGCACATATCACCAGAACGAGTCCTTCATCCAAGCCCCTCTTTCAAGAGGTCGACTATCCATCCATTCCTGGAATGATTGCGACAAAGATTCGTCTTTTACCAGGTTATTGGCAAACTAGTATCCGTAGGAACCCGACTGCTAGGCTTGTTCGGGCCCGAAAGAGTGAATGAGGAAACGTCAGCTACCATCATTGCCATGGTCCATATGGTCACGAAGGATTGCCAAATTTTAAGACCATGCTGCAGGGGTCGACAGCGACGTCGGCCATTGCACGGAATCTATCCAAAAGGCCCGGGGGTCCACTGGGACGTCGGAAGGGCATGTGAATCATCCATGTCATGATCTAATCTGATAAGAGCGCCCAAAGATCTAATCTGATGGTTGGTACCTAGTGGTGTACTACATTTAGCCACACACTCTGGATGCAAACTTGGTGCCAGGGATTCAACGGGAGAATCACCGGCCCACGGGCATAATTGACCCGTCCCATGCATTGACTCAGCATGTCGCTCAATGTAGCTACTGGCACAGACAATCAATCTGAACCATGATCCTACTACCACTTTTTTGTACACTTTTGATACTATCCAAATCCTTTGCGATCCAGTCCGGCTTGAAAGGAGCTATTTTAACCCTAACCCTAACTATCTGGATAACGGCCCTTAGACGAGTAATCCGATGAAACTTGGGGCGGCCTCTTCCTTAAATATTGCCAGCCTAACCTGGCCAGGCCTTCAGACTCAACCGTGCTTTGGGGGCCAGCATAGGGTTTTGAGGCCTTTTTGCCCATCGCTCTGCGTAGTTCTCCAAGGTCTAGGCCCTGAGAAATGGCATCTTCGGCATTAAATATGTCTGCCACATGGAGGTCGAAAGAGGTCAACAAGAGGAGCCTGTGGATGGTGATATCGACCCTTCCATCTGCCTCTGCCGGTACTGCTAGGGCCGCAGCATCTGAAGTGTCGGGGAGGGTAGGCTCTGGAGCACCTCCCGCTGTGTTGAGCTTTGACAGCAGTGCATTGGTCATTCTGGTCATTTGTGTGACCTGATCGCCTGTGCGACCTTTGAATCCCAATTCCTCCATAATGATCTCGTGAGGAGGGACATTTTGTCCCGGGTAGAAGATTTTCTCCTCGGGCTCCTCACCATCGGCGCCAGGAAAAACGACCTTGACACCATCTCGCATGGTGCGCCGAAACTGCACGCACTTGGTTGCTTGTTGGTAGACCCAATCAGAGGTTGGAGTTCTGTTCTCCATGTCTGGTGCGAGCTGCGCGCATTGAATGAGGGCATCATGGCCCACGGCTTCAAACCCGTGGAGGCGCAAAATTCCTTCACTGCCTCAATCTCCTCAGGTGCGGTACCCTCTACAAAGGGCGAGAAGGCTTTGGTCGGGTCGCTGGAATCTTGGGTATGCTTGACAGCTTGAATGTCAAAGTCGTCTCTCATCAACCTTGCCCTGGCATCATCCACCATGCAGAGTTTGGATGTCTTCCAAACTTGGTTCAACACGCCAGCAATATCCTTGAGACGGTTGAGTGTTGGGGTTGCCGTCATTAAAAGGACAGTCTCTCGGGGGATGAGGCCAATGAGGCGACTGTACGCGTTATTTGCGTTTCTGATGTGGTGTGCCTCATCACAGATGACCCGACCAAAACTCAAATTCTCAATGGGGCACAAGTATAGGGTATACCAAGTATGAGTGGATTTAGTTTTCTTCTTGGCGCCAAGAGGATCCTCGCCGTCATCCTCATCATCGACATCTGGGCCGTTATCCTCACAATCTTCTGCGTCGGCCGTATCGTCTGTCATGAAACCGGCCAACGGCTGCTTGTACATTGAACCTTTGACAGAAGGGTCAAAAGAAAGTTGGTGTTTGGACTGTTACTGTGGTAAAGAACTGGCCTAGGCACCTGTGGCGGAAGCCATTGTAGTCTGCGATATTCTTGGGTGGATCGATGCAAGTCGGTCCAGACCAAGAGTATCTGTTAAACGGCTGTGCGAGCATGTTGCCTATTTGCTCATATACGACAATGCTTTGCAGTTCTGGGAAGCCGTCGAGGTACTTGGGTAAATGTTCCTCGTTGCGCAAGACCTCGCAAAACTTCTTGCACATGCGGTTTTCCTGCACATCATAATATGTGCCATTGACACGCAGGACTCTCTAGGTACAACGCTCCAATTGACCAATTCTGATAATGCGACCCAAGGCCTGGATTAGCGTCGACATGTTCCAAAAGAACTGGGCGACGATGTCTTGAGAGAAGCATTTGTGAAGGTTCAGGCCGGAGACATTTGTAGAGGCATTAATGATGAATGCCTTCATATCAGACTCTGGGTCTATAAAGTGCTCTACGGCCTTTTCACGCTCTCGTGCCTTGTCTGCGGCACGAATGAGTTCAACAGTGGAACCAATCTTGGACTGCGCTGAGAGGACAAGCCTGGAATGAATTTAGCGAGCTTAACGGGTAGACAGGACGAGATGAAAGCCTTGTACTAACAGCCATGATTGATCCTGCCCGTGTATCGGTGCGAAAGGCCATGGAAAGGCTTATGTGCCCAGTGTGGTGGGTTCGGCTCTGCATTGCCTGGGAGATGTAAAATGAATGTGTCAAAGATGGAAAGGAAGAAGTAATTTCGGCAAAGATGGAAACGGGAGGGGAGGGGCTGGGACATTTATAGTTGGCGAACCTGTTGACTGAAGCATCAACAATCAGGCTCGCATAAAATGTAGTAGTCATGGTGGTACCCAAGCGACAGGCAAGTGTTTGAAAGCCCATGATTGTTATTCTTACGTTTATGTTGTTTTTACTTAGTCACATGTTTCTTTGCTGCAAAGCTCCTGGTTAGCAACCCATTGGGCAGGAAACAGGGTGAAAGACGTCACGGGAGACATGGCGATTGATTCTTGGTGTTATCCTCTCAAATATTGTGATTGTCGTGAAACTTAGGGCGGGTATCTTGATCTTGAGCCCTGCGGGCGGTCATCAGCACCTAACCTACAGCAGCGCTGACCCTACACCTACATGTAGGCTCTCCTGTGTCGAAACCCCACTGTGCCCCACTCCATTTCTTCCCAGTAACCCTCCAGCTATGGTGATAATTTTTGCAAGGCATGCCAATGTCAACACCCGTGGACGGCCAAGCGAGACAGATTACATTAAAGTCCCTCCCCCTTTCCAACCTTCCCTAGAGGATGCGATCACGGACTGCCCCTCCTTTCTACTCAAAGCATTCTTCCGCACTTTCTTCTGAAGCTATTCAATACCTCTTATTTTCTTGGGGACAATCCGACCGTCTATCTTTCGTCTTCAAGTACCTGGTGAGGACTTCGTCGCAGACGAACAGGGAGCAGTCTAGAAGCCTCGGGGTCAGTTTATCACTTTTGAGCTCTGGCCGCAGAGCACCCAGCAACTGGAGTGTGAACATCGTTTTGGCCAGCTGGATGATTTTGCATTCTGCTCCCAGTAACTCTGGCAGGCAAGCAATAGGGCCGCATTTCCTTTATCAAGCCACTGAGATTCACCACCACACTTGGAGCATGAGGAAAACGGAGCTCGCGAGCCCCAACGCATCTCTGGGCTGTTCGCCGCCATTCAATAAACATCAGCCGGCTATCCACCCACGAGCACCAGGAATACTCTCACAGACAGCCAACAGCGACGAGTGCTGTTCAAAAGATTTGACGGTTGATTGGTCCCGGGGTTTGCTGCAAAGAGCAATATGCACGAGATGGTCGAAGGGGAGCCGCAAAGACTGGCTTCTTTGGTCCATACTACCCGTCAATCCATTATACAAGGCCACTTCTCTGGGATCTCGGTGCACCAAAGGAGCCTTCGACACCAAGCCCAGCTTCCGCTGAAGCACTGTGATTGTTGGCAAATTGTCAAGTCTCATCAATAGAAACAACTGCCGATGTCGCACCCGTAGTAGGCCTCTTGGCCATTCTTCGATAATCCAATCCATTGACATGACGAAAATGTCTCACGGTTCCGGTGGATTGAGTGCCTTATTATACTCAAGGCCAAGCATTAACATTACCATTCACCGGCAAAACTGTGCTAAAATCCAGCTTCTGTTGACGAAGCTCGGCTCATAGGATATCTGCAGAGTTCCTGGCCTCCAGGAAACACGGAACCATATATGCGATTGCTATTTTGCAAGGTACTGGGCTGTTTTGTCCGGAGGGTCAGTCCCTGTGCGGACTCGACAGCTCAGTGTCGTACTGTGACTCACCTGCCCAAGCAAGACAATGCCCCCGCGTGGCCGTGTTTCTGTAAAGTAGAGCGCAATGGTTTACCATGACAGAACGGTAAGTTGGGGCGCATCTTGCACAGTGGACGCTGCATATACTGACTGAGGTTTGGGCAGGGACACATTTACTCGTGGGTTTTTCTGTATCGCATTCAGCCGACTAACACCTGACATTGACAGGTATTCTCTTTCCTCCAGGCTCGTGGTGCCCTGAACATGGCCACGAAAGAGGGCAGAGAGTCGTCGTGTCTCGTGGAATGGACATGCCTTGCACTCGCCACGAGCTGGCTGGACGAGCTGAAATTCTCAAGTCGACGAACGGGAGCGGTACCAGGCGCCAGTAGTCCTTGTCATTCTCCAGCGCAAGCAAATGAGCTCGGGTACGTCTGGTATCTCGAGATGTAAGAACACCGGACGAATCCAACCACCAGGACATTTGGGACTCTCTTTCAAATATCCTGGACCTACACGTATTGCATCTTCCGAGGGAAAGGTAGGACCTAAGCAGAACAACAGCCTCTTGCTCCTGTATTTCTCAGGACTTGGCAATGGCATCTGTCTCCAGCCAGCTAAGCCGTCTGTGCTGTAACATGCCCAGATATCATCAATTCTACCACCTCAGCAAGATTTGACACTTTGGCCATTGTGTTGCTTGGTTACTAGGCTCCTGGAACCCTATAAACATATCCTAGCCGACACCACCAATGATGCTTCAGCTATCCCATCACGAGAAGGGAGTCAGGCCACGGTCAAAGAAGAATACGTGTACAGATCAGTAAAAGTGAAGAGGGAACAAGACCGGAAGCTTGCAAAGTGAGTACATATTGACTACAGTATTCCGAACATTTTGCAGTGTGTAGAGCATATCAAGCTGGGTCTACCATCCAAGGGATCTTTTCCCGAGCAAGCGGCCGCGCCCATGTCATCCTCTTCGTCCATCCCCTTCCATAAAGTGCTGCCTGCGAACTCGTCGTTTGGGCACAACCGGACCGTTAGGTCGAAGTATTCTGTTACTAATTGGATCCACCACGCACCAGTCCAACCTGATATGCTCTAATGTGCTTTTCGTGGAACCGTCATGTCGATCATGTGAATTCGTCGAGCGGCACCCTCGACCGTTCAGGGTGGATGCGAGGTGTCTGGATCAGCCAAATGATGTCTCTTGGATGTTTGATGGGTTTCTGTACGTGTAAATGATGCTGTCATTCTCGCGCATGCGGAGATCCAATGTTGACTTTAACTGTCACAAGGCATTGGCAGCCCAACCAGTTGCTTCCCATCCATCGGGTTCCCGTTGGCACACAAGAGCTGCAGAATCTTTTTGCATCGGATGAGTGCTCAACGTCCATATCTGACACTTTGCAGGTCGAAGTTGAGCATGGTAATTAACTACACAAGAGGGCTCGCCTTGCCCCTGATTCTGATACGTACACTTGGACTTGCTTTGGGTTCAACGCACTTATTTGAGCTTGGGACTATTTACCACTCTTTCGGTCCAGAGTTTCTGCCATGTTCTCACATTGTTGTTATCAAGTTGCGCCAATGTTGCAACTCAATGTAAGGTGTATGAAACAAACCCAATACCACCGACATGTAAAGCCATGGATTCAAGGCATCAACCTGCTCGCAATCTACGTCTGGTAGCCGGATGCTATTGTTCGGTCACCGTCTGGCAAATGCTTTGACCATTTCACAGTATTAGGGGTTTCCAAAGGCCACCAGAACCGTGTAGAACTTGTGTAAAGAAATCCAAAGGTTTGTGGCAAAGGGAACTCATAGTATCTATTCCAGTCGAGAGCTCACAAACTAGGCATTCGAAGAGCTAAAACAGTAGCGGGGAGGCATTTGCAATATTCCAGTTGCCTTCCCAACATTTCAAGCATCACTCAATTGCCAAAATGTCTACGTGTACATGCACTCGTGTACCCTCTTTTGACAATCCGTGTCAGCCCTCTCGTAGCTCATGTGCTCCAGAAGGACATGGAGAAGTAGGATCTTCCCAATCAGATTTGCTCAAGTCCAGGTAAGAAGCTGTTAGTTGTCTTGGGTCTGTAGAGGGATGCAAGAGGGCTGACATAACTGCTCCCAGAATTACTTCTTCACAGCCTTTCATGTTTCGTCGCGTCCATTCCGTCCGACATATATAGCTTCGCTGCCGCATTTATGGCCCCTTGCTTTTTGTCAGGAAATGAAGTACCCATGTGCAATGTATGCCTTCATTTCTGTCAGAATACAATATATCAACGGGAGCTCTTGCATTTCTAGACTATCCATGAGCCGTCCTTTGTGATTCGTACTTTTCTTTCAAGCCGTAGTCACTTGCTGCGACCAGGAACTAGATGTATAACCCGAAAGAACTGCATCGTTTCGCATGCACATTGGGAAAGATGTATGCTTCTATGCTCCCGGCCCGGACCGGCGTCAGCGCAGGTAGGATCGCCAAGCTGCACATGTGATCTTGTCACTCTCTTTTTCAGTATCCATGTATAGATGGCTGCATTGCCACATTGTCTTGCAATGATTCTTTGCCATAGGCGCATCATCCAACAAACCGTATAGAGTTGATTGCGCCTCTAGGCTCATTCCCATGGAAGTGTCCCTACTCACTCAACTCACATATACTCGCAACATAGCGAGACCGACATGTGAAGCTATCAACGCACACCAAACAGCCACATGTGCCTGTGATGGATGAAAATGGACCAATCCCACAAGGCTGGCAGTATTTGCAAGCAATTCGAGTTGACAGTTGGCGGGACCAGGACATGAATCCTACAATATGACTTCTTTGCAGAGAAGTTTGGCTTGTGCTGCTGCAGCCGAAAAGCTTTGCCATCTTGGTCAGAACCTCGCCAGGTCCCTTGTCATCACCTGTCTACTTGCAAACTTTGGCTCGTGGTCGAGCAAAGCATGTCTCATTTTGTAAAACAGGAGTACAAAACGTCTATACCTAGCCCACATCATCTCCAAACATTAGCAATATCAACACACATCTATCCGATTTAGTAAGTGCGTTCATTCTCTGCACCAGTCCCACGGAGGAAGAAAACAATTTTCTCACGGTTTTCTATATTGAAACTTTGCACTCTCCTCACGAAAGGGCGAATTGCCCCAGACGATGTGCCAGTGATGATATTGCGCAATTCAAACCACGCTGCAATTGTTTGACAAGACTCTATTTAATAAAGTGATTTGAATGAAAACCACGGCAACGTGCCATCAATCATAGCAACAAACTACATAGCCCAATGGATTCTCAGATTCCATATCACGACTGCTATTCAATACAATCTATTGTGGGATCTACAAAGGCCAAAAAGGCGTGGGTGCTAAGGAGGGAGACACGAAAGGCAAGGTTACTGATAAAGATACATTTTCCAGTTGTGGACGCGGGCTGTAGAGTCCAAGGGGTGCGAGCCTTCCCAAGAAGACCATCCGGAGACAGCCGAGGGATACCATGTTACAATCTTGGGACAGCCCTGTGGTGGGAATCCAGAGCTTTCACCAGAGCTGCTTGCACTCATGGTCAAAGCAATGCGCAGCATAGATAACAGTAGGGCCGCCTGAAAACCCGCTGCTGCAATAATTGAGCAGGCCGGACAAGTGATCTCCTCCACCATGAGCTTCCCAGTCGACGTATCGGTGTACAGAAAACTGGAGCGAGAGCCACCATAGAGAGCATCCACATTTCCAATTTCGGAAGCTGTCCAAAAGATCCTCAGCAGCCATTCTGCGTATCTTGGATTCCAGTTCCTGTTTGGAGTATTGTCGGCTTGTCGTGTCTGTCGGTTTCTAGACCATCCTGAAGACATCTCTTTGGCTTGCTTTTTGAGCGTGCCAATTTCCAACACGTAGTCGTGGTCCAAATGTAAAGGTGACGCTGGATCTGGGAAAAGCATGGCTGCAATCATTTGAATTCAAGTTGAACGATTGGAACCAGAGTGCCATTGAAGAGAATGAAAAATTCGGCGAAACAAGAACCACAATGTTATTGTATGATGTGTTGCCCTCTGCCATTTGGTCAATGTTGTTGCCATGGAATTGCCTCAACTCTGGGATGCCGAAAATCATGGGCTCTATCGCTTCACAGCGGCCCTACGGGCACATGGACATGACCCTCTCGACGTACCATGCCCTTTGCCGAGACTGATAGAAGCAATAGTTGAACAATTGGGACTTGCTGTGTTTGCCCCTCGATCCGAGACCATCAATGGGTCTGGCCGTCGTGAGCAGCTCGCCACGAGTTCTGAAAAGAGCCAAACCTCTAGCAATCGTCATGTCTATGCTTTGCCTTGCGCCGTGGCTCGGCTCGATGGTGAGATGGACAAATGGATTCGTAGCTTCTGCCGCCTTTGGCTCAGACGATAGCTTAGAATAGACTGCCTCTAATATCGGGTCTGAATGGGTCAAGATGGCTTTTCGTCCCGTTCGGGGGATGCGACAGTGTCGTTGATCTCGTAGGTTGAATCATGCATCCAAGGACATTGGTCGGGATGAATTGTTGCTATTGTGTGCACATGGTGCTAGGACCCCGGGCGTGCATGTTCAGCGTTAGGCGGCCTAATCGCTGCTTGGCAGGGCGACTGATGCACCACAACCGCTGCATGGCACACTGCATGGAGTAGATCAGAAATGCGAGCAATGCATTCGAAATACAGGAATGGATAGTTTAAAAGAACCATTGAGAATTGAAATGCATGATATGCCAACTGCCCAGTTCTCCAAGACGAGCAATCTCCTGGCTAGTGTCCCCACGGGTCAGTGAAGCGAAATGGAAACTCCCAGATGGACGAGTTCATGAGCTGGTTGGGTAATCGAGAGGCACAAGACTGTATTGGAGGGCATTGGCAGCGGCCATGGCAAAGACGAGCCCATCTATTCTCCAATGTTGGCACGTTGTTCGTTTTCGAGGTTGAATCAAAAAGAATATGGGGATGGACGCTTTCACAGACTTGACCTTTTCATTCCCGCGTGTGCACTTTTTTCTTATGGATCATGGTTGCTAGGGACAAGCGGCAGCTTGCATTACCGAGCCGTGGAATCTAGTGGAGCCTCCCGATGGAATATACTATAGCGCCCAGTATGGCACAGAACCTCTGAATTTGGGCTTCAGGTTACAATTGGAGGTCCCTAAAAATGTTCCACAATAATTTGACTATACCCAACCACAAAGCTCTTTGCTCTTGATTTGATTCGTGTAATTGGTCGAGCTCTCCGTGGATGGTCGTAGTATATTTGGTATACTCGCTGGCGTAAGAGAATAGTATTCGCGGGGCAAGCTTATTGCTGGTTCCTGGGAATGCTGATGAACCGCGCATGCGCTCGACTGATGCACATACTTCGTTCTGTCTTCATCTTTCTCGGATATCTCTGCAATCTTGCAAGTTCAGTCAATAGCAGTAAAGAATCAATTGAAGGATGCATTGGCATCTTGGAAAATGTCCGCTAGCTTCTTGCATGCATTGACGCGATGCTGCGAAAAGAAGCCCACTGCAATCTGGAAACTTTAGTGTCTGTGCCTGGTAAAATGGTATAGTGGAGCAGTCTGGGGTTTCTCTGCCAAAGTGTCGGGTGCCCCCTTCAAATAGCCCAGTGTGAGATGCCAGTGTTAGGAACTGGCATAAGGACCGCACATTTGCAAAAGCCAGACCGAAGTAATGATCCTGCCTTCTGAATCACTCAACAACAGCGCCCAACAGAGTCGACGATGGAATAAAATGCTTGGATTTATTATATACTCCGTTCTCACGAACCGAACTAATCCAGGTGAACCACCCGCAAAGAGTGTGACATCCACGTTCTGTGTCTTTCCATCTTGATGTTTGTTTCAACAAAACACTTTGACAGGATCCTGGCGCGCAAAACTCCCGTCTCGGCAAGACAAACCTTGAGGCTCGGTATCGCCGCTTGTGCATGCGGAACTCTTGCGTCGCGTCGATCATCACTGCAGCATACTATATCCCTCGGAGAAGAATGGAAACTCTCCCGTCCCGTCTTCATGGTGCCGGGGTTTCAACGTGACTATAGTCGGCCATCGCTCGGCCAGAGATGCGTATAAGAAATCGAGGACATGCTGAGGACGCATGGCGCCGTGATTTGCCCAAATTCTAAAGTCGGCATTAAGCCACCAAGTTTGCCTCGAGAGACCGTGGCACTGGAGCCCATCCAATTCTAATCGACCTGGCCATTTACTTGGAGGACGGGTGTTCCAATCTCATGGAATACGCGACTTCGAGGCCATCAAAACAGGTAAACTGTCCGAGGCCACCTTACACTCAATGGAAGATCATAAATAGGCCGTTGATATGCATTGTGCTATTTGCAACTAGACAGTGTTGAATCTACTGCTATCAATTTGAAGACCAACAAGCTGCGACCGTAAAAACACAGAATTGTGCAGCTTTTGTGGGCTCATGATACACTCCAATATCCCTGACCCAAAGTTCTTGAATCGAATTCAGCAAACTGTTGCAGGGCCGGATTGATTGCATGCGCGCCGGGTTCGAAGCATGGCCAAAGACAGCCACAGAAGCCTTGCTTGATCTTGACGCAAAACGTCAGAGGTCATGCCTAGCTGCGCGGGGCCATGCCATTCCCACTCAAAGCCAGTGGAGCGACCTGCCAGTGCGCAGCCCCTGTATAGCTGCCAAGCTAAAGATTGAAAACCACTTGGTGCGCAATGGCCCGGCCGCTGTGAGACGGATTTCTTTTACGGGAGTTGACATATTCCAGTATAGATTTCCAATATGCCTCACGCATTATTTCCAATTGCATTATATAATGAAATTGGCATGGAAAGTTCAACTGAAGCTTCAAGGTGACATTGAAAATCAATGTTGTGGACAATCGGAACATGCTAAACTGTCATTGAGCGGGTTATTGGAATGCCTAGGTAGTTTTCCATCTTCCAGGCACATGTCCTGCTCCCAAGAACGAAGCACAAAATGTCACGGACTCTCCCCTTTCAAACGACCGAGAAGTCTTTCGATCAAATCATGCGAAAAAATCGAAAGTTCCTGGTACGAAATCATTTGGCCGGTTTGCTCGCCGTTGTAGAGAAAGTGCCAACTCACAAGATGTGTATATGTCAGCGTGTCGCAATCGTGACAAGTTCATTGCGTCAATGGTTTCAAAACTTTGGCCGTCTTTGCCATTGTCGACAGCAGCTACCTTGTGTAGAAAGCGCTCCAGGACTGGTGTCCATCTCTATTGGAATACGTAATCGTTCTCCCCACGTACAGCAACGTGATGCTCGACCAAGATCATCATGCAGGTCCCAAAGTATGGGCGGAATGTTTGACAAACTTCATGACAAAGATGAAAAATACTTGCAATTACTTTCACGTTTTCGAATGCAAGAGCATGCGCGTAGGATAAGATGCTGCTAGGGTCAGGCTACTCGTGAGAACCATCAATCTGTTTTGCCCAATGCCAAAGATATAGCAATTTCAACTTGACTGCGAGTGTGACACATGACCAGATCTGTGATTTTCTTTTTTTTCCCTCTTGCTGGGAGAAAATTATTGTGACTTCCTGCAACTTCTCTAGGCACGCAATGTTCCATGCGCTGAAGGCTTGCTCAAGGACTGGTACGTAGCCAGTTGATTATTCCACTCGACTGTCCACCGCCATCTCTCAACTTTGCTGCCTAGAATCCATTTCTCTGCACTTTGCTCCTTCCCAGGAGCCAGATACCCTCGTCAAAAAATTTCTCTCTCTCAATCTAATCTTTGAACAGCTTCAACGTGACAGTTGGAGCTCTCAAAACGCCTTATACTTACTGTAAGTTTTCTCTCTCCCAAATCCACGGTGTTTGTCGACTCCAAGCCTCTCTGCAATATCTTTCAAGTGGAAGATCACCTCCACCCGGCAACACCTCACTTCTTGGAGTCGCCTCTCCTTTCCTGACTATTCTTTGCACAGTCCCTCTCCAAGAGACATTCCCTACTGTGCAGAGTTTCCATTCCGGAGAGCTCTTTCAGTGGCATGCTTTCTGCACTGAAAGTTTCTGCTTCATGTCTGTTCTTCCCGTGTCACTCCCATGAGCACTTTCTTTTCAGCCCAGTCTTGATCTCATTCGTTGAGAATCCTTCCAAGTTTGCTTTTCGGTTCTCATTTTGTAGTGTCGACTGCAAACTCAAACCAAGCCCATCAAACAAGCTCACAATGCATTATGGCTGGGCTAACGAGCGGTTCCATCAGACTTCCAACACTCCAACCACTTGTCGACCGCAGTCATACCCTCGACGACCGAGCACGAGCCCATGAAAAGAAACAAGAAGGGAAGACGGGAAAGGAACAAGCAAAAGAGGCGGAACATACACATACAAGGTTGAGGGGGGAGCCGGAGGAGGGCACCACGACAGCGATGACGAGGCCGCTGAAGATATGCCATCCGATTGCCACGATCCTGACCTTTCCACGAGACCACACAAGAAGGTAGAAAAGACATGTGCATGGTTGACAGGGGACGCAAGAGGAGGGATACACATATGGGCAAGAGACTGTGGGAAAGAGGAGGGACACATACACACGGTGGGAGGATGGACATGACAGCGATCCCGAGGCCGCTGAAGATGAGTTTTCCGACGCCGCCGATCATGCCAATCCGAAGCGTCACGATGATGCCGAGCACGCCGAAGATGCTGCGAGACCACACAAGAAAGAGAAGCAAGTTGTCAGAAAGAGGAGGAACATACATACACTGAGAAAGAGGAGGAACATACATATTCTCAGAGAAAGGTTTGGGAGAAAGAGGAGGGATACGCACACGCGGTTGAGGGAGCATCAGGACAGCGATCACGAGGCCGCTCAAGAAGAATTCACAATCCCGACCCTACGATGCGAATGACTCCGAGACTCCCACCTGCGAGGCCAAACAAGAAGAAAGGGGAATAAG